CATTACCTGGGAAGAAATAAATTATCATTATAATTCTTTATAAGAATTGTAAAAATAATAATTGTACTTGATTGAGTGCGCATAACTATTAATAGTAACAACAATAAAATTAAAATAATAATAATAATAATAATATTAATAAAAAAAAAAGTAATTTAGATTATCTTCAGAAGTATTCTTCACACTGTAGATAAACAAATTTCAAATATAAGACTTGTAAATGTGAATCTTTAAATAAATTGAAAGTGTAAGAATGAATGGTTTAGATAAATAACAATAATAATAATAAATAAAATTCCATCTCGCGTCTACGATATATTAGGTAATTTCATATAAATAAATTTAAATGATAAAACTGCACAGTGTGCCTGTTGAAAAAAAAGGAAAAAAAAAAAAAAAAAAAAAAAAAAAAGAAGAATAATAAAATATATCTTGTATGTAACTTTCGTAGTCACGCTCGTAAAAATGAAATTTGATTATATTTATAATAAAAAAAAAAAAAAAAAAAATATTTATTATTACATTGTGTGTGAGTTTGAATAAATGGAATTTATGAATAAATAAAAGTCTAATTGTATTGAACTGTAATTAAAAATTATTATTATTATTATTATTATTATTATTATCATCATCATCATCATCGTAATTAATAAATAAAATTTTTCTTTTATATTAATATTGTAATGTATACTCAATGAAAAAAAAAAGAAGAAAAAAAATATATAGAAATCAATACTTTTACATATATGTGTATGTAATAACGAAATCATGATTTTTTTACGCTGATGTGTTAAAATAATAAAAATAGTAATTAGTAATTTGTAAACAACAAATAAAATATAAATGAGAGAAGTTAAAAAAAAAAAAACAAATGTAATATTTAATGTAAACAGATTGAAAGAAGAAATAACTATAAATTTAAAAATTCATAAATATCACTCTTAATTTATCTAACGCACGCATTTTTTTTCTCATCGATAGAATTAAAAAAAAAATAATTAAAATTTTTCCTTAAATTTAAAGTCGCTCATAGCCATTACCTGGGAAGAAATAAATTATCATTATAATTCTTTATAAGAATTGTAAAAATAATAATTGTACTTGATTGAGTGCGCATAACTATTAATAGTAACAACAATAAAATTAAAATAATAATAATAATAATAATATTAATAAAAAAAAAAGTAATTTAGATTATCTTCAGAAGTATTCTTCACACTGTAGATAAACAAATTTCAAATATAAGACTTGTAAATGTGAATCTTTAAATAAATTGAAAGTGTAAGAATGAATGGTTTAGATAAATAACAATAATAATAATAAATAAAATTCCATCTCGCGTCTACGATATATTAGGTAATTTCATATAAATAAATTTAAATGATAAAACTGCACAGTGTGCCTGTTGAAAAAAAAGGAAAAAAAAAAAAAAAAAAAAAGAAAAAATTTGTTTATAATTATAATCAAAAAAAAAAAAAAAATATTTATTATTACATTGTGTGTGAGTTTGAATAAATGGAATTTATGAATAAATAAAAGTCTAATTGTATTGAACTGTAATTAAAATGAATAAACGTTTTATCAGCTCCTATTTTCGAGGCAGAAATAAATTGCTCACATGTGTTGGATGCGGTGAATTTAAATTACATTAAATACACAATATTATCCTCATAAGTAAAATGTAAATTTCACAAATAAAACATATTTGTGATTTATATACGTATAAAGAAACTTTTGTAGAGAAAACTTGAGAGAAAGAAGATATTCCATAGACATATTTCTGAAGATAATCTAAATTTTATTTAATAAATAAAATAAAAGAAAGAAGATTTAAGAATGCTCTTGCTCACAATTTCAATTCTAGACTACTTATTATTGTAAGATCTATATTTAAATTGCGGAATCTGTCATTCCTTAAACAATAAAAAAAAAAAAATCTATTATAATGACTCTCTGAAACTATCTGTAAATAAGTATTTTGTATTCCTTAAAATAAAATATTTAAAAAAATCTAATTTAATTTTTTACATTGTTTATCCTTACCGGTGTATAATTATAAATTAATTAATGCCTTTGAAAATTTTATTCATAATTATAATTAATAAATTTAGTGACATTATATTGCACCGCTGAATATTGTTGATTTATTATTATTTTAATAAGTAAATGAATTTAAAAAAAAAAAAAATTTCAATTTAATTAATTTTATTGAAAAGTTTACAGTTGTAATTAGCAATAAAGTCATACAATATTTTAATATTAACAAAGAAAAACAGTATACTATCAACCCAAATAGAATGAAACTTATTGAGTCCTAAAAACTCTAAGCAGTATGCATCGTTGAGCCAGAGCGCCTGAGCAATTAGCCAAATTCCAACCAACATTGCGTATCTAATTAAACTGATATTGATATAGGGTACACAGATCGGCAGCAGAGATAAATACCAGAAGAAATATTGAGACGTAACAACAGAATTATAAGTAACCATAACCATGGCCTGGGTCATCATTCCGAAAGCTAATTTATTTTTATCAGAGTAGCGAAATGATAATCCGATTATCAGCAAAATCGGCGGTAATACTCGTACTATTTTTTCAATAACTTGAGTTGTTTGTCCAATAGATAAATACAACATGTAAAAATAGAGTGAAAAATTATGACGCGCATCCTTACGGATTAAATGATAAATCATACTTTCGTAAATAAATTGATATCCATAAAAATAATAACTTATTAACGTAAGCATGGATAATGATAATGTAAAACCGGTTATAAATTTAAATTGTTTTTTATTTGGAAGGATCCTGTATTTATTATCTGTTAATGATAAATACATTGTTAAACTGAATACTATTGGGTACAATCGAAAATGCACAGATAAACCGTGAATTAAACCAGACACTAATGAATAATCGTTATTTATTATTAAATAATATAACGTTAATAAAACTAAAAGCACTGATAATGAATCAGCATTACCGCGCGTTGATATGACTATTGTCATTGGATTATAGAGCCATGAAAGGGCGGATAATTCACCGATTCTATTATTGCATTTACCTTTAAATAAAATTATTTTAATCAATACACCGGCGATTATATCGGTAAATGAAAATAACAATTTACCGAAATCATTGTGCAAAAAGATATTCGGTGAAAGGATTACTGCCAATAACGGTGTGTAGCGATACGTATGCCGTAAATATGGCGACTCCCCGGCTGTTATGTATCTCGCAGCGTCTGTATAAACTTTGTAATCAACATCAGTGTATGGTAAGCGAAAATATTTGTCATGGAAGTTGGCGTACACTATCAATACTACTCTTACAATAAATGCTGAGTAGCAGTGGACTTTAAACTCTGGCCACTTCATTTTTAAAATAAAATAAAATAAAATAAAATAAAATAAAAAATAAATCTACCAACTACTATATTTATTATAATTTTATTTTGTTTTTCCGAGCAGCTTCTACGAGACAAGACTTGAATTTATTGAACTCTTTTTGACAATCATCTTTACCGATATTCTGTTTAGATACAACGCACTTTCCATACTCGATTGCTGATTCTTTACATTGTGCAAACAGTAACGGATACTTTTTCAATCTTTCTCTGGCTTTTGTTACCGAGTTCATTGAATGTCTCTTTTTTTTACTTGCTGCTAAATGGATTTTTAAATTGAGATTCTGGTATTTCAAGAGTCTCGAGCTTATTCCCACCAATAAAGTATATCGGGCCGCTGAATATTATAGCAACAGCAATAAGTCCTCCGCCAATTGAGAAAAAACGATGATGCTTGAAAGCCCAAGATCTGTCTTTTAACAAACGTCTGTCGACGGTAAACTTAGTCATGACTTTTTCAATGCTGATTGCTAAACATAAAAATCAACTATTAATTACAACAATTAATTAAATTAATTGATAAAAGCAATCCTTACGTAATCAACTGTTTTATGCTCGTAAGGTTTTGAAATATCAATTCCTTCACAAACTAACGACTTGTCAAAATGTTTTATGCAGCACTGACGTAATTTTTCAATTACACTTTGACAACGTGATGGTTGATAAACGTTATCTGTTAAAAATATAAATTAAAAATTATTTTCACGTTCTTTATTATAAAAAAAAAAAAAAAAAAAAAAAAAAAATAACCTAACATTCAATAAGTTTTTTATACCTTTTAAACATGTCTGTAATTTACATGCGTATTTTTTACAAGGATCAGCAGTCTTCATGCAGGATTGTTAAAACAGGTACTTAATTTATTTTTTATTTAAATTAATTACTTGATATATATATATATATATAAAATGATGATGGAGCAAATGGAGTCGGCAAAATGTAACACGTAAATATATATTTATTTTTTTATAATGTCAGTAAGAAGGATTCCTAGATTAACTCCAACGAAATGTTGAAATTTGTTGTGAAATGTGTTGCGGGAGAACTGAGAAACTTTGGCGCTCAAGTCGCTCCACTTGTCATTTTACAGCAAAAGTGTATTAAAGCAATCAGCTCGATCGACAATCATGTGTTGTTGCGCTAAATTGAAGAATTGATTGACAAATAAAAATAACAAAAATAACAAGAGTTATCTCACCGACTTTCACTTGGAGCACTTGCTAAATAATAAAAAATGATTTGTTATACTCGTCAACAATATGTATAAGATAAAAAGCTGTTTACATTAAAAATAATTATCAGTGATAATATAAAAAAATAGTAAAATAATAATTTTCAATGATATATCTGGAAAAAGAAAAATTCAACTGAGGAAGATCAATATTAGTTTAGAATAGTAAATAATAAAAAATTAATTTTGTTTTACAATCCTAAGTTTTGATTGAATTTAATAGGAAAATTAACAATAATCAATCATGCAACAGCTGTCGTACAATTTTGTGTGACGTTTTCATCAGTGTTGAGCAGTGACATGATAATATAAATCACCGGGGATAATAAAATAAAGCTATTTTATGTGAATAATTAAGTGTAAAAAATGATGCTAAGAAGTGTTATATTAATTCTGTGGATCGGAGTACTTGAATTATTAATCTTAATTGATCAATGTGAGAGCACTCATGTAACTGGTACTTTCAACACCAACGAATTTTTCCGCTTTCTCATAAAGTTCGGGTTTCAACAGACAGATCGTCACAGACAGCGCGAATCTTACGGCTATATTTTTGGAAATGTAACGTCGCAGTCAAATTTGTCATCCTCAAAGCTGATAACCTTTGCTGTTTTGGACAGAAACCATTTTTTGGAGTACTATGGTAACCGTACTCTTGAAGATAAAAATACAGCGTGCAGCAGGATGTTCAATACCCTCAATCAGAGCTCATATGACTCACAGTGTAACGTCAATGGCGAGGATTTCTTACGGTAAATTTATTAATTTATATTAATTATTGATAATAATGTAGTAATATTTATTTGCATTGCAGGAGAATACCATGCCCAAAGGGTCAACTGTGTCCAGATGAAGACTTACCGTCGAATGTCATAAAAAACAACCAATTTACTTATGTAATCCAAGACCTTGGTCAACCGAGATTTTGGTATATAAGCATCGTATCGTGTTATCGTAACATTAAAACATGTAAATGGGAGTGGTTTAACGAGAGCATAAATATCGACTACGATGTTTGGTTGGTGAATGGCAATCCGAATAACAGCGGATTCAATAGTTTGACTTATCAATTTTCGTACGACCGGCAAAATACTATTGAGTTGTATTTATTATTTTTTTTATCCTACATAATACTAGTACCTCTGCAGTTGTACGCTGTTAGATTACAAAGACATCCTGTTACGAGACTTTTTACTGTCAGCTTACTGTTGGAGTTTATAGCGATTTGTTTGATACTAATTCACGTATTAAAATTCGCGTTTGATGGTATTGGATACGAAAAATTGGAAGTTGCTGGTGATATCTTTGATATTTTATCACGAGTAAGTTTTATAAGCTTTATTTAATAACCAATCCTAATAATTATAACGATAATCATTTTTTACAGGCAACTTTTATGTTATTATTGTTATTGTTAGCAAAAGGATGGGCTGTTACAAGAATCGAGCTAACGTGGAAGCCGTTGGTATTTTTAATATGGTTTTGTTACGGCGTTGTTCATATTCTTCTCTACGTTTGGAATATGGTAAAAAATATATTTTTTTCAATCAACAAGCTTAATATACATGTTAAATAATTATTTACAGACTGAAGTTGATATTATTGAAGACATAGATGAATATCAAACATGGCCTGGATGGTTCATTTTACTATTTCGGAGTGCGATAATGATATGGTTCTTATTAGAACTTCGCAACACTATGACTTATGAGCACAATACTCAGAAATTAAACTTTCTGCTCCATTTTGGAGCCTCAGCACTTGTGTGGTTTATATATTTACCGATAGTTGCATTGATTGCACTACAAATAAGCACACTATGGAGGTTTAAATTTCTACTCGGTAATTTTAATTATTTATCAAAAAAATTTTTTTTTTTTTTTTTTTTTTTTTTTTTTTATACAAACACATATATTTGAGATAAAAATAATTAATAGCGTAACAGCAGCAATAATTTACTTGTATTATTACTTTTTAGGAATTACATATTCAGCAGATTGTTATGCGTACTGTGTAATGACGCATTTATTATGGCCAACACGAAGTGAACAATATTTTTTACTAGCACAAGGTGCAGATAACGGTGATGAATTGGATGAATTTAATGAGGCACCGCATGTATTAAATAATTACGTTGAGCCATCGGATCTTACAAAAATAATAGCATAAGCTCTTTTTTAATTTACTCTATTACGGTAATGGTAATATTAATAATCAATGTGATGTAAATTTGCCAAATATTTCAGCAAATATGGTAAATATTATTGATTTTTGGTAATTCAGACTGACTTTGTAAAATATTATCAGTCCAATTTTTTACAATTATCTTTAAATGTTCTTTCTCTGATTATATATTTAATACGAATTAATGCTTCACCATGAGCAAAAACAAATTATATATACATAGTATATTATTTAAACTATCGACATTAATTTTAACTCTTATCTTAGTTATATTTACAAATGAATTTAATTTAATGTTAAATAATGAATGGTAGTTGATTTTTTTAATGTTAAAGTCTTATAAATCTTTAATTTAAAAATAGTTTTTAAAAATGCCTTAAATTTCTCATTAAACGAGAAAACTATAATTACCGTGACGAAATAAATAAACTGCGATAAAATAATAATTACTATTAACTATTGCTTATGTAAAAAAAAAAAATCGAATTTGTTGTAGAAAATCATTTACAGATGTTTAATGCATTTAGAGTTGTTTGTTTAAAATATTTAATCATTTATGTTCACGATAAGATTTTTAATTATTAAATTAGACGCATGTTTTCCAGTATCATAGATTTAACCAACACTACATATATTGAATTATATAGTACATATAAATTTATATTTAATCATTTACCATTATTATTACAATAATAATAATAATAATAATCTTATTAAATTCTTGCTCAAATCAGTACGAAAGTGGTACATTAGTTTGTAAGTGAGTATTATAAATTATACAGAATTATATAATTATAACATAGTATCCGTGTTTATTTACAAATTTTTATTGAATATTCAATAATTAAAAATTGTTTTAAACTAAGTTTTATTGAAACAAATTTTTTTTCATCACTCTTCAATACAAAATTTATTTTTAAGTTTAGCATACTTTTTTTTTTTTTTTTATACATTACTAAAAATAAATAGATCTCAAAATACAATATTAGGTAATAATACGTAACTAAATATTTATAAATATAATTGTACATGTTAATTTTTTTTTAATTTCACACCTTTGTAAAGTAACATAATTTTACCAATTAAACATTTATAAATAATAGACGTGAATATTTTATGACTATGTAATCACATTTAAACAGATAGACTTCCACTTAGTTTCATTAGTGATATATATATATATATATATATATATATATATATAAATATAATATTTTATATTGCAATAAATTGATGAATTCTGATATTAAAACTGATTGATTAATTTTTAAAATTTACAATAAACATATTAATTATAAAATAAGAAAACAAAGAGTAATTATCATAGTAACTTGAGGTGTGATGTAACACTATCTACAATGCTATTAGGACCAGGACCAATACCAAGTACTGAAATAGTGCCAGGCTCTAACTGAGTTCTACCAGCATCTTTAATAATAGCAGTAACAAGTCCACAATTACTGGCTTTAACAGCCAACGATTTTAATCTGTCCTCACTAGTCACTCTGAGAACAATTTTTGGTTGACCTAACATGAACCATGCATCTAGATACTCTTGATTAACTTTGTTATTCTTACAGCTATCATAACACTCGACAGCAGCATGAGCACACTGTCCGGCTATTTTTCCAGTGCTCATTGAAATGTCTGTTCGCACAACCAAAACCATTTTGTACGGTTCTTTGGGTAAACCTTTGGTTACTAAATACTTTAACCTTCTCAAAAACTGACCCATATTTACAACAATTATTATTTTCAATGTTGGGATCTTTCCTTTTGATGCTTTTCCATACAGGCTCTAAATTTCTGCACTACATCTTGACATTTACGCCAATCTTGAGTAACAGCAATACATTCCTAAAACAAAATTCACATATTATTAATTTAATTAATTAATCATGTGCTTATATTATACAGTTGATAAAAATCATTAAAGTACCTGAACATCATAATGTAATTCAATACAACCAGTTTTTTTCAACATACGTTCAACAGGATCTTCAAAATCTTCTTCCTGTAAATTTTTTTTAACTTGAGTTGACATAATATTTATTATGTGTGTTATTTTATCTCAATTCATTAAATTTATAATTAAAATATAATAATATATAATAAATAATAACTACAAACACCGGTCACATGGATCACATCTATATATCAATAATATTGGAGATTGGAGCACAGGTTAGAAATTATAGATATAAAGTCGTCTCGGCAAGAGAATTAACCTCGGGCTTGTTCGGGATTAACCCGAGGTTTATTCTTGAGACATGTGAGACATGTGGGACGACTACATGTGTGTACGATAACACGATAACAATGTATATATATATATATAAAATTTTTGAAAATAAAACAATGGCAGCAATAATAAAAGCTAAAAATTGTAATTTAATATTTAAACGTTATATTAATTTAACTTCAAGATTATATGCGAAACCCAAAAAAGCTATTGAAAATAAATATTCAAGCACTGTTTTGTTACCCCAAACAAAATTTCCATCAAGATTAAATGGAGAAAAAAGAATTGATATGGATAATTATTTGATTGAAGTAATTATTTTTATCTTTAATTTAATAATAATAATAATAATAATAATAATGATTAATTATTCTAAAATTTTTCTGTTATAGAAATGTGGATTTAATGATTTGTATAATTGGCAAAGAGATAATTTATCTGGTCCAGATTTTATTTTACATGATGGACCACCTTACGCCAATGGTGCTGTACACATGGGTCATGCTGTCAACAAGGTATATATTTGTTTATTTATATTTTTTTCTAAATCTAATTAAATATTACTGATTAATTGTAGATATTGAAAGATATAACAACAAGGAGCCGTATTTTAAAAGGCCAGAGAGTTCATTATGTACCTGGTTGGGATTGTCACGGGTTACCGATTGAATTAAAAGCTCTGAGTGATTGGGAGAATCAAAAAGATTCATTAACACCACTGCAAATACGACAGCAAGGTGATTTTATTTTTAATTAACTAATATTAAAAATTTGATTCTTTGTTATTTTCAGCACGAAAATTTGCGGAGGAAGCTGTAAAAAATCAACGAGAGTCATTTATGTCCTGGGGAATAATGGCAGATTGGAAAAACAATTGTTATTTTACGAATAAAATCTCTTACATGACTAATCAACTGAGAAAATTTATGAATATGTATGAAAAAAATTTAATATTCAGGGCATTTAAACCTGTCTACTGGTCACCGTCATCCAGGTATCAAAAAATAAATTATAAAATTAATTTAAATCATAAATAAATAAATAAATAAATAAAAATATATTTTAATCCTTACAGAACAGCACTGGCTGAGTCTGAGCTTGAATATAATCACCAGCATAAAAGTAAATGTGCTACAGTGCGTTTTTTGGTGACTATATTGTCAGACAAATTTAAAGTACTCGAAGATCGTTCGGTTTATGCTTTAACTTGGACAACAACGCCCTGGACACTGGTTGCCAACCAAGCTTTAGCTTACGCTGAAGATATTTCATACTGTATTGCTGAAGATTCTCAAAACAATTGTTATATAGTCGGTGAAGATTTATTAAACACTGTTGTGGAAAAAATTGGTCCTCTTAGGCCAATTTTGACTGTTTTAGGTAAGCAAATTTAGCACGTTGTAAATTTATTTATTTGTTAATGTTTTTCATTAATTAGGTAGCGATTTAGCTGGATTAAAATATTCTCATCCAATCACTGGTAAAACAATGCCATTTTATCCAGCAAGTCATATTACTAGTAAAATCGGAACTGGATTAGTTCATACAGCGCCGGCTCATGGACCTGATGATTTTATTGTTTCTGTAACAAATAATATACCCGTTGTATGTATTTTTTTTATGTTATATATTTCTTTATTTAAAAATTCATATTTATATGGATTATTTAAATTTAGTTGTCGTTGGTTGATGAAGACGGTCGTTATACAGAGAAAGCTGGTCCTTTTGCCGGATTAGATGTATTAAAAGAAGGTGGAGACGCTATTTTAAAATTTATCAGTAAAGACGTAATGCATATTGAATATTTGATACACAGTTATCCTTATGATTGGCGTACTAAAAAACCAATTATTACCCGAGCGAGTTATCAATGGTTTATTAATACTGAATCAATTAAACACAAAGCTATTGTAAGTTAGTTATTTATAATTAAATAATTACCTATAAATTTATAATATTTATTCACCAGGAAGCAATTGAGAGTGTAAAAATCTATCCAAAATTAAGAGAAAGCATCTATTTAAATAATTTAAAGAAGCAAATTCTCCAGCGGCCTTTCTGGTGTATATCACGTCAACGTGCTTGGGGTACACCAATTCCAGTATTTTACAATAAAGATACCGGAGAAGTTATTATTAATAAAGATATTATTGAACGACTATGTAATTTATTTGAACGTGAAGGTCCTGACTGTTGGTGGAATTTGCCAGTTAATAAATTAATTGGACATAAGTTGCTGGATAAATTAAATATCGATGCTGATAAATTGGAAAGAGGAAATGTACGATAGTTTATAATTATTAAAAATTATTTATATTTAAATATTTATTTATTTATTTATTAGGATATTATGGATATTTGGTTAGACAGTGGGTTATCTTGGTCAAAAGTTTTACCAGAAGGAGAACAAGCAGACCTTTATGTAGAAGGTATGGATCAATTTAACGGATGGTTTCAATCATCATTACTTACATCAATAGCTGTTAGAGGAATTTCTCCTTTCAAGTATTTTATTTATTTATTTATTTATTTATTTATTTATTTATTTATTTGATTTTAAATTAATTTTCTATTTTTTCAGATCAATATTTGTACACGGATTTACTGTCGATGAAAGTGGAAATAAAATGTCCAAATCACTGGATAATGTTATAAGTCCAGAGGAAATAACTCGTGGGGGAAAAAATCTAAAAACCCAACCGGCATACGGTGTTGATAATTTGAGGTCATTATTTTTATTCTGTTTCAGGCTATAAAAACAATTTAAGTAGATTTATTATTTGTAATTTATTGTACAGATGGTGGGTAGCAAGTCACGGTATTCAACACACACAGATTCCAGTGATCAATACTTTACTACAAAATAGCATCGAATCTGTTAATAAAATTCGATTGAATTTAAAGTTTCTACTGGGAGTTCTTCATCCATATGACATACCCAATGATATTAAACCCAATTATTTAATTTTGGATAAATACATGTTGCATCGACTTTATCACTACCATCATCAAGTAATTTATATTTATTTATAATACATTTTTAAAAATGATATAATTGATTTATTTGATTTTATTTCTAGATACAAAATTATTATGATAGCTACGAGTATCACAATGTTTGCAAAGCAGTTCTTAATTTTGTAGCTAACGATATATCGGCTATTTACTGTCATCTTACTAAAGACAGACTCTACTGTGAAGAAGCAACTTCGCCATTGAGGATAGCAGCTACTAATATTATTGGAGAAATTCTTTCTATATTAACGCGATCTATCGCTCCAATTATTCCACATTTAGCCGAAGAAGTTTGGCTTTATCATCCGGATAATCTTGGTAATTTTTATCATTTTTAATAACACTCATATAGAATGAAAAAATATTTATTTATTTATACAGCATCTGTACCACTATATCGTTCAAGGCACACATTGCCAAACGATTGGAACATGCCTGAAGTTGAGAAAATAATAAACTCAGCTTTAACTGTCAAAAATATTTTAAATAAAGAAACAAATATAAATACTTTAGAACTAGAAGCCACTGTAAAAGCCGACACAGAAATGCTTTTAACATTAGCGGTAAGTTTATTAGATCTATTAATTAATGAAAAAACTAATGGTTGATTGAATTATTATTTATCTAGCCACTGCAGCCTGAAAATACCTCAACGAGCTCTGAATTATGTAACATTCTCCAAGTAAATAGTGTTACTTTGATCGAAGATACAGAGTGTACGACACCAAAAGTAGATTTAAAACCAATTGAACAAGCATTATGCAAACGTTGTAGAAAATTTTCAGAATCGACTCCTGGTGAACCGTGCATCAGATGTATACAAATAATAAATTTGTATTCTACTTTGTGATTAAATAAAAATTAATTTATTTTTAGATAAACTGGTTTAATGAGATTTTTATTATAGAGCGATCCCTTTATTATTATGATCTAATTATCATGTTAATAAATAATCAAAAATATTTGCGTATGTATATTAATTTTAATTACAGTTTTCTACACATAATAAGTACAATACATATGCATGTAAATATATATGTATATATATTTATTTATTTATGTATGTAATATACATATACATACTTAATAATTTTATGGTGTAATATTATTATAATATAATTTTAAGTATTGTATCAAGTTCAGTCAGGCTTAGTGACCGTTTGCCGTATTAAGCCGTATTATTGTCCAACACATCTTACAATTGTAAGCAGTAGATGAAATATAGTGTATAATTAATTACAAATACAATAATCATTGAATAATTCACATAATTTAATTATTTAATTAATTAACAAAATATATTTAAAAAGAAAAGCAATAAAATGAAAATTTATACAAATACAAAAAATAGTATACTTTATTAATTATTGTCCTTTATTTTAATGAATATATATGATTAAAAATTCTATTATATATTGATAAAGCTTTTTATTGGACCATAACTTTTCCTATGAATTTATGGTGCATAAATAATGCAGATAAAAAAGAGTGCGCGAAAATAAATAAATAAATAATTAATTAAATTAATGAAAAAGTAAAGTTATCATTAATGAGTATTTTAGTTAGACAATTGATATTGCTTTTGAGTTTTAAATACCTATTAAATTTAACGAGTTTTTATAATATATATTTAAATAAAAATATTAAAAAGCTGATTTATTTAAATATTTAAAAGCTAAACTAAACTATATTATTATATATAATTAGATTTTTTTTTTTTTTTTTTTTTACTATAATTCAGAGAAAAAATTACTAATATAATACGATTAATCTAAAGCGCAACTCTTTTTATTTTTCTTCTTCTTTTTATTTTAATTAGAATATCTCACCAATAAAATGTTATATATTTTTGCAATATTTCTTTAATTAATCCACGTATGAAAATAATTATAGTATTTTGTTGAAGTTTATCTAATACAATATAATATATATATTTTTTTTTTTTAATATATTTGGACAAGAATATTTATATTTATATTTAAGCTTCGATAATTAAAATAAAATCTGTGTTTAAAAATAAAATACTTGAGTATTAAAATAAATAAAAATTTAATTGTATTAGTATGCTCTTGTATACTTGTATTCATTTTATTTACAGCTATCTGATACGTAGAGTATATTAAAAAAAAAAAAAACTTGGTTGTATAGCTGACAATTTGTAAAATGATTTTAAACGCTTTAATATTTTTTATAAGTCCTTATAGACAAAAAATTATAATCAAAGATTTTTATATTTTAGTATTAGAATAACGATATGACGTTATTTTACGTCCATTATTATTAATATTATCATTATAATTATTATTATTATTATAATATTGACATATGTATTCCAGTTATTATTTAATATTTAATATTATTATTATTATTATTATTATTATTATTATTTATGTAATATTGTATTAAGCTACCTTTGACCTTTAGCCAACAATACTCGCTTGAATTTTCTTCCCTTATAAAAATTTCTTTTCTTATTATCCTTTGATATGACAAAGAAATCGTCGATTTAAAGTATTACATTAGATTGATTGTAATGTCGGAGATATATATATATTATTGATATTGTCATAAAGCTTATTATATATTATCTTGATTTGATATTTCAAAAAAAATTAAAGATATTTAATAAATAAAAATAATACCAAATTATTGGATAACTAACAAATAAATTAAATTGATAAAGTCAATTCTAAAAATTTAAAAGCAAACACTAAAACCAAAATAGCACTGATGGTTTAAATTATCATCACAGTATATGTGTATAATAATATTATTTTTCCTGTCACAATCAAATTCAATACCAGTAATAACTAAATACTCATTCATTTTATTTTATTTCATTTTATCTATTTGAATATATATATATATATATATATTATTGTCATGGATATTTGTCTTATAATTATTAATTAGATTAAAAGCAAATGCAATTTATGGAAAATAGATATATGCATCTATGTATTATTGTCTATTCAGAGAAAGTTATTGTCTGAGTTGTTTTTATTTTTTTATTATTAACATATTTAACAATATTCTAAATCGTGGAATTATCAACTTTATTCTCGTAATCGGAAATAAATTTGATACTATCTTTTTCAGCCTTATATATCAAGCTTTACGGTAAAATTTTTCATACAATAGTAAAATTGTTATCTCTTGTTTTATTAATAATAATAATTGAGTAGATATAAAAGCAAAAGCCACGATTATGCTCAAAATACTTAAATAATAATATTAATTATTTATTAATTATACTAGAGAAGAAAATTCACAAATATTCCGCGAAAAAGTAACGGACAGTCCTGTTTGCTTTTCTATAATATCGAACTCGGGTGATTGATGATCAAACAGATAAATTTGATCATAAATTAACTGCAATTAATTATTTAAATCTTTGTTCCTTTAAAGATTAACATTATTTTTTTTTTTTTGTTTTTTTTTTTTTTTTTTTGTTATTTAGTCTTTATGAACAATTAATATTATAATTATAAGTATAGTAACATTAATGTTTTATAATAATAATTATTATTGTCGATATATTTATTTATGATATTTTGTCAATTATAATGACATTAAAACTAATATCATGACTAGAATTAAATACTTATTTTCAAATTAAAGCCAATATTTTTTGTTGTAATATGGTAAAATATATTTATAATAGTTATAGTAATAATAATAATATATTGTACCATTTACTTAATGAGCATTTATATATAATAATAATAATAATAATAATTCTGCCCACACATGTATCTTTTAATTTTAAATATACTGTTACTTTTTTTGTATAATTATTTTATTAAATTAACATTTATTATTGTCTCATTATTCGATTAATTTAACGCGTAATCATCATCGTCATAAAGTATCTTCCGTTTTGCTGTATTTTATTATTTATAAACTAACCATTAAATAAAAATAAATATGTTTCTCTAACTAATTAATTACTGATTAGTGATTAATAATAAAAATTAATTGAGTCTGCTCAAGCATACAGTCCATTATAATTTCCATACATTTTTTATGAGCTCGTAATATTGCTATCAAGTTTATATATATATATATATATATATAAGTATTCAATCATTTGTATCAATGTTGATATTTGGTGGCTTTAAATATCAACAACACCAATATATTTTACATATTATATATATATATAACTTATACATACCTATTTAATAATTCCTTTTTTTATTATTTAGTATTATTGTCATCAATTTCAAAATATTTATTATTCATGTTGGGCAGTTAATTACACATTGTTGTGTAACTTGTATTATTAATTAATGTAACAGTGGATTGGGATTATAGTTGTCATTAATCTGTAAAATATATATATATATATATATATAATCAATTATTATTGTCAAAGGATAAAATTAATAAGGTAAATAAAATTACCAATGAAGCATCATTAAAGTCAGTTAAACTTGAGACATATTTAGATTTATCGTAGTTATTGAACTTGAAATTTTTTGGTTCTTGATATGATTTAATAGAGTTCAAATACTGGATTTGTGAATCTGTCAGTTTACTATTTTTCTGTTCATTTTTGAAGATATCATTACTATTATTATTGTTATTTGCTGATGCTGCTCTTGCTGCTAATTCTTCAGCCGCGCGTTGATCCTTTTTGTTTTCAATATAAAAAAAAAATATATATTTAAAATTAGTTTACTTATAAGTATAAAAGAAAGAAAAAAGAGTTATAAATAGTTGACCTAAAAAAAAATAATAATAAAAAAAAAAAAAAAAAAAAAAAAAAAAAGAACCTGTAGTTCACGAGCACGTTCAGTACGTATTAACTCTTTAAGATGTTGAAAACTGCCAGCTTGTGGAACATGAGATATTGATGAACCGCCTCCGCCAACCCGGAAATTATATTGGGGTCTTCGTGAATCCGGTGGTTGCCGATTAATAGTTCCATACATTCTAGTAACTTCTTCAAATGCTTTAGCTCGATTGTTAGGCATGCCATTACGGAATCGACTTTCTGCGGGTGCCTTATGAACAACTTTACCATAAACAGGAGTCCTACCGCCCCCACGATTACGGGCTTCTTCATCCCGTTCATCTGGATACTTGTATATTTCTGAGTAATAATGAGAACAATGAGGAATAAATAAAAAAAAATTGATTAAAATAATTATTACCTCTATATCCAATAGAAGGTTGAGAGCGTACTGGATAAGTTTCCCAAACATTGTATGAAAATGGATCACGGTACATAGGTAAATCATTAGTTACTTCAACTGCTCGACTTTGTCTTTTACTGTATCTCCACATAGCCCGTAATTCTTCACACGTGGGTTCAGCTTTATTACGCCTATCTCTATACGGAACATGACTTACTGTTGTTGTATGTGCCTCTAATAGATAATCTGATAATCGCTGGCATTTAACAGTATACGATAAATATGAATATAAAATAAAATTACTCAGTAATGATATTATTTTCATTTTCTATAAACACAAACAAAAACGTATTTTTTAATAGAATTATATAAAATTTAATTAATAATATAATAATAATAATAATAATAATAATAATAATTAAATTACCTTTTGATGAATAATTAAATTGAATTTTAAAATATTAAAAACCCTTTAGTTAGCCGATCGATATGTTGGAATAAGATATGTTGATAATTATTATCAATGATATTTAGTTTCTGCAACACATATATTTATCATTAAGATTACATTAGATATTGTATTTTATCATAATCATCCCACGGATTTATCGAAAAATATGTTCACACGTAAAGGTCAAAGTGATTTAACAGTTATTTAAATAATGCCCATTCATATTAATATTTCTTCTATTTATTTATATAAAATTGAATAAATTTATAAAAGTTTAATAAATCATCTCGATCTATTTTTCTTTAAAAAACTTTTTAAAACTTTTTAAAATTACTTTATATGTATGTGTATAGCTACTACTGTAAAACCGAGTATTAATATATATATATATATACATAAAATCCACAGACAGGTAATCGATTTTCAGTTAAATACACACTGCAACCAGTCAAATCGTCGAGTCCTACTTTTAAGACAACATAATTAATTCTTCACTCATTTTTTCTTAATTAATATTTAATAATAAACATCTTTATGTATATAAAAGAATTTAATTATAGAAAAACTTATTAATGAAAAGTTTATTTATACTTTATATTTTAAATTTAAATTAAAATCAGTGAATTATTGTTTTGGTTATTGTCTTAATAAAGTATATTATGTCATAAAGATAGAAGGAGAAATCAGCTACTAATTAATTATTAGATACACAGTATGGATGTTAATTTGATGCTGTACCCTGATAATAAATATCGATTTTACATTAGTAGCTATTAGACGAATAAATAACATTAATAACATTTAATTGAATCATTACGAGCTTCATTGTATTATAAATTTAAATTCAACACTCAAAGAAGATATTATTATATTCTATGCTGATAGAGAAATTAAACTATATTTTTTTCTTTTTAATAAGTATCATTATTACTCTATCGCAAGTTTATAAGTCTATAAGTATATAAGCTTAATGGAAGAGTATTATAAAAAGAGATTTATTTGGTCTATTTTTTATGATATTCTAATATGTGCACAATTGTGGGCATAATTCCGGGCACCTGTTGTTCTCAGCACATTTGGGTTTTCTGACTCTCTCTGATTGCCAATCTTTTCTTTTCAACAGTTTCAATGGCTATATATTATTATTCATCGTTGCTTACACCCACGTTTTGAGACGTTTCGACACTTACAAATAAATAAAAGAAATAAAGGATAGTTTTATAATGCTGGTATAATGGCGAGAAAAACCCGAATGTTAAAACCATCACCTAAAAATCCATTTTGCCTGAAATTCAAATAAAGATACAATAAAACTGACAAGTGTATTCAAATAAAGAAAAGATTAAATAAAATGTAAAGCTATAAACGCTATAAAGGGGATTTAAATAACTCAATAAAACATGTTGTCACCCTCTACACTCTACACTCTATACTCGTTATTAGTTTTAAATTTACATTTTTATATTTATTTTTAGTGAGATTACGATTATTAAAATACGGTCATCTACATACACGTAGAGTTGTTTAATCATAACATCACAGTTGCAACAAGTGCTATATGTGTGTAATATCGGCTATCAGCTATCAGCTATCGCGTGACCTCTTTTAAATACTTAAATACATATGTTGTGTCACTAGTTAATTGAATTTTAAACAGAGACCTTACACTCCAATTAAGGGCTATTTAAAATCCTCCTATGCCGGGACAATATGTTATTTGTATAATTATTTAATAATCATTTATATTATAATAAATAAATAACTTTAATGATAATAATAGTAGGATTATTAAGTTAACTAAAATAGGAATGAAAATGAGTTTCTGTGTCAACGTCAGTAAAACTACTCCCGGGGATTTGAAGAGGCCAGCCCGGCAAGTAATCTTCCGGTTGACCTTTACAGTTTGTTCATCACTCTCCAAAGACTAGGCAAACTAAATTTACGGAACACTTCCGATGCTTTCGATTCGGGTTCAGGTTCAAATTCTGACGCTCTATTAATTCAAAGACCTCAATCAAATTTTAATTAAACAACTTCTCTCTTTCATTTTATCAATTTTTTATTAAAACAATATAAATAAAATAAACTGTTGTCACAAAAGTGTGTAAAATAGTATTATAAATTCATTAATGGACAATTGAATGGTCTACGTGTGTGAATGAAAGTAAAGATGAACGAATAAGAGGGAGAGAAATAACGAAAGGCAAAATGTTGAATGAACGAAAAGTTTATATCAACTAAGACTTGTGTGTGTGTGTGTATATATATATATATATATATATATATATAGATGTGTATATTTATCAACTCACCTGTCGTGTCGGTCCGTCGTGTCCGGAAACCATGAACCAACTGACGTTCTAGCATCAGAGGACGCAAGTCTGACTCCTCCAACGCCTCCACCACTTGTTCCAATGCGGTCCTTCTATTTCATTCCATATACCTCGCGGGTAAGTACATACTCTCTTTGAATTTATATATCTATATACATATATATAGAGAGATAAAAAGAGAGAAAAAGAGAGAAAAAGAGAAAAAGAGGTTTTGGTGGTAACTGGCCTTGTCTCATTTCACCTTAAGCTAAATACAACTACATCTTATTCACTTTAACGGTAATACACAATACAACTTTACTCCCACATAAAATGTTACCCTCTTGAATAAACTGTTAGACCTTCAACACCCTGTAGCCCATAGTGATGATAGTCCTATACTCTTATAGTTGAAAGGTATTTCGCATTTATATATTTTTATATTTTTTATTATTTTTATTTTGTCTATATTTCCAGTGAAAAATAGTCTGCCCCAGGGAATATAATTCACCATTACATCCCGGTTTTCCTACATATTACTTCTTCTTCTTCTTCTTCTTCTTTCTATTTATAAACATATATAAATATAAATGGGTGTAAGAAAGTTAACTCTAAATTATTTCTTAAGACCATATACTAATACGTCTCAGGAGATTTTACTTTTAAACTGTCATATCAGGGACGTATTTTTGTTTATACTGGACCCTCTTAGAAATACATTAATATCTCTTAACTTGTTAATAATTATTATCTTAATAAGGTAATATTTAATATCAATATCAATAACTGAGGGATTTTCATTAAGTTTATCCTCTCAGGCATCTTACATACCGCAAATTCTTGGAACGTTTACGAAGACAGCTTGCTACGTACTTCCAAGACATCAATGGAATAGCTTACCATCTAAAAACTTTTATTTTGTTTTTAACTTTTAAATAAATCTCGTGTCATCTTGAATACTCAACCGTGATAAATATAACTTTTTCAGTCATTATTATTTTTTTTAATTAATGATATTATTTTATTTTATTAATGGTAATAATAAAATAAAAAAGTTGGATCAATCTTGAGAAAATAAAAGTTTGACAAAATTCCTCTCGAGTTCCAACCCTGTTCTGTTGATCTACCTCCAAATGAGAGGACACTTTCCCCAACAACCACCCACACGCTCCAATACCAACAAAAGTATCGAGTTTGTGTTGAGATATAAAGGATAACATATAGGATGCTCTAATCTAATCCCTGCAGCATCCCTTGCCGGCATAATATTCCCACTTGCGCCGAGTTCGACGAAACACCTCCTGGTTTGAAGCCTTCTCCACCACCTACATAACAGCAGGTTCACTAACAGAGCAGCTTCCATCACTACCACACCACAAGCAGCCTCGTTACTCGTTACTCGTTACTCGTTACTCGTTACTCGTTACTCCCGTACCGGGATCAAGAATTCTAACAAGAGTGGGAGGAAAATTTCTCCACTTACACAATCGATAGACAGGCCTACGGTGGGTTCTACTGAATGGACTGTACCATTTGTGTCCTCTCCACGCCTACCTAACCCCTCGTTATTGATTACTACGTGTCTAAGGGGGGTGCTCTATCGATCCACCCAGCTGTACACAACTTCATTCATAAATATTGTTAATCTTTTAATTTACATCATCCACACAATATTTCCATCAATTTCACACTTACGTACAAACATTTTAATGTTTACTTTAAATAAACTGATAATAGTTATTAAAATAAAAGTATATAGGATTTTAAATAAACTACATAGTAAGCGTCTATTTAATTGACTTTAAAAAAACTTTTTACTGGAAAAATACATACAAACGTTCAAATGTATTTCAAATTTATTAGTGTTATTATTGAGATTTTTTTTTTACTTGGTAATAACTAAAAAATTTTAAATAATATAAATATATATATATATATATATATAAGTCTTAGTAATGTGAAGCAAATTAATTATAAAGCCACAACTATTAATTAAATGGTCAAAACTTTAATTGCTTCTTTAGTTAAAGTAGGTTCCATTGAACTCGTTATTATTATCATTATGATTTTACGTATCATTGCACTTAAGCATAAATTTATATATGTAGTATATTATTTGTTAAGTGATAGGGAAATAGTTTGACGTCACTCGAGCACCAGTGAAGCACTTGCATAGCTGACAGAACTATCATTCATATTGTTGCATTGGCTACTTTGAGCGTACTTTAAAAATTTTAAATTCATTTTTTGATCGCTACAATTTTCTTTAAAACTTTGAATTGCCTAATAATTATAACAATTTATTAATTATTAATGTTATTATTTTATTGTACAAGTAAATAAATATAAATTACCTGCAACAATACACCTATTGGATGCCTTCCACAAATAGTATTGCCGTATTTTTTAAGATACTCAGTAAATGACTCTGGATTTAATGTTTCAATTATATCCATTCCCTAAAATATTATTATTATTATTATTATTATTATTATTATTATTGTTGTTATGAATTATATTAATGACGTAAAATAATTGTAAGAAGAAGATTTTGTACCATTTTATCAAGATTTTGAATAGATCTGTGAATAGGACCACTTGAACGGTCGTAATAAGTATATCTGAATCGTTGTCCCCAGTGACAAAAGTCTGATGATATTACAAATAAATTTTGTGGATCAGCTATATATGGCGCTAATAATTTACCATAAACTGATTCCTTATCTGGAGTTAATGATCCAACTAATATTGGAATTATTGTAAAATTATTTTTGTAACTGAAATTTATAATAATAATAATAATAATAATAATAATAATAACAAAAACAATCAATTACGATAATAATAAATATCATCATTGTAATATATTAACTTACTCTTCCATAACTTTAGCTATAAATGGTAATTGCATTTCAATACTGTGTTCATCTTCATCGGTATTCATGTCCATCCATTCAAATTGTCCGGTTTCTTCCAACTCATGACAGACTACCAATTAAAATTAAAATAAACACTCAATATTCAATATAAATTATTTATGGCTATTGTATAAATAATCTAAATGAAACAATGAATACCTTCTTGGTCAATTGTCAAATCGTACAATGGAGTACGATAAGTTGAAGCCGATGACAGAGCACATCCAGGTAATCTCACATGATGAGAAGGTCCAAGAATAAATATTCTCCGTCTAAATATTTTAGTAATTGTTCAGTAATCATCAATTTTACCAGTATTATATATTTTTAACTCTAATTTTATAAACCTGATAATGAAATCTTACACTACAACTGGACTTATTTGACGGTACGCAAATCCAGCGCATCCACCGCAATAGCTGTAGCCAGCGTGTCTAAAATATATTTACGATTATCATTAGTTTTTTGGGGGAAAAAAAAAAACAAAGGGTTCATTAAAAATTAAAATAAATTTACTAACGGTGCAATAATAGCCCGAGCAGGTCCATGAGATAAATCAGCGGCATTCAACCAATCTCCAAGTTGCTTATTTAAATCATACCCTAAAAATATCAAGTATATTCATAAGTCTATTGTTGTCATCATAAATACTTAATTACAAAAGTTTCTTAATTAAGCCAGAAAGTTGTTAAATTAAAACTTTGCTTAATAACTTTTATAACTTAAACTTTTGAATTCTTGATAAATAAGTAATGAAATTTAAGTTATAATTAATTCTTTTTATCCTAAAAAATTTTATAAGTAATATGAAAAATGAATTATAAATTAAAAACAATAATAAATACCTGAATCTGTATACCAACTTCCGGCGTGGGTTGCTCGTCTAGTCAAAACCATTTTGTAATTTGTAATTTTTTTTTATTTTTTTATTATCTGTCTGGGCAATTTATATCTCAGAACAATGACCCTTATAAAAAGTTTAAAGTTTATAATTCCAACTAATATTTATATTTCTTTCTAATAAGTATTTCTTTATTTAATAATATTGATTAATTAATTAATTAAGGATCACTCGTTAAATATTAATATTATTTATTTAATAATGAAAAGTAATATTTTGATATTTTGTTCGAGTGAACAAAGGAATCTAAACCTTTCTTTTTACAGACTCATGATTTCTCCATGTTCATGACACAAAGTAAATTACATATATATATATATATAAGTACTCGAGGATTTATGGTACAATATAGTTATAGGTATAATAACATAAGTAAATCTAGAGACAAAAAATCACTAAAAAATAAATATCACACACATACATACATACATAGAAAGTCATCAGACTTGTTGTTAAAAAAATTATTGTGTTATTAACATCGGTAGAGAGGCATTGATTGACAATTCTTATTAAATTAAATTTATATATATATATATTGTATAACAATAGATGTCACTAACGCTTATTTCTCGTACAGAAAACATATCACGTTGCTTTTCTCATAAGTTTTTATTGTCCTATCCTGATATTTTATATTTTTTATTGCCATCAATGTCAACGAGTTTATAATATTTAATGACGTTTAGGCCAGTTTAGTATTGTATATACACAAGTAAGTACTGTAATATTTTTATAAAATTGAATAAAAGGTGCCTATTTACTGATCGTTATCATTTTGGTCAAGGATTTATTACGTAAATTTCTATTTTATTTTATATAATATCTTAATTACGATAAAATATTTTAAATAACTCTAAGTAGGCAAACAGTATACTTGAACATATCGATTAACTGACTTCATTTAAATAAGACAATATAGTTCTCAAATTACAATCTCCAATTAAAAATAAATAATTTTTTTTTGTTGCAGGTATTTTAATCATAAATAAATTTTCTAATTTTATTTTCTGTCATAAAAAAAATAATTATTAAGAATATAAAAAAAAAATTTTGTACGACAAAGTTGAAAGTAAAATAGTAAAATATGGCAAAATTACAAGTTAATAAACCAGAGCAACAACAATTTAAACTTGTACCAAAAATAATAAATGGAGGTATTGCTGGAGTTATTGGAGTATCGGTGGTATTTCCATTAGATTTAGTTAAAACGAGGCTGCAAAATCAAGTGATTGGTCCTAATGGACAAAAAATGTATTCTTCAATGTACGTATTAATTTATTTTAATTATTTTTTAAATAATTAATTATTTATTTATTTATTTATTACAGGCTGGATTGTTTTAAAAAAACTTATCACGCCGAAGGATACTTTGGAATGTATAAAGGATCAGGCGTTAATATTCTTCTTATAACTCCTGAAAAAGCCATCAAGTTAACAGCTAATGATACATTCAGACACCTTTTATCAACTGGACCTGGGTATGCATTTTTTAAATGGTTAATTTCAATCATTTCAAATGATTTTTTTTTTTTTTTTTTTTTTTTTTTTTTTTAATTCATTTCAATATTAGATAATAAATCGCGTTAAAGTTACTGAAAAAGCTCAGGAAAAAAACAAATTATAGTACACCTTTTTTTATTTAGCCATCATAATTTTTTTTATTAATAATTTCGAATCATCAGGAATCAACTCCTCAGTGACTAAATACCAATAAGAAAAATGGCTTTATTATGTTTACATCTTGAGTCGACATTATTGACAAAAAAATAAGTAGGTATATTATTTTCAAATAATTCCCAGATTCCTATTGGCTCACAGAAAATAAAAATTATTAATAATGTGTAATATATGTAGGATACTTATTAAAACTTGACATATTTCTGTAGATATTAACAAACTCACGTATTTGGTAGATTTAATTTATATTATTGTGTAATTGAATAAATTTTTAATTTAGTGTTATTTTGATTATTTTGATTATTTAAACTAGAGAACCATTGCCATTGGTACGTGAAATGATTGCTGGGGGATCTGCTGGTGCTTGTCAAATAGTAATAACAACTCCGATGGAATTATTAAAAATTCAAATGCAAGATGCTGGTCGAGTTGCCGCTGCTGCTAAGAGTGGTATAATTTTATTTTTATTTTTCATTGAATTCTAATTTAACAATAAATTGAAATCAATTGATTTGTCCTCTAAGTCTTATATAAATAATTTATATCAATTGAAATAAATGATTATTGATTTCAGAGGGGAAAACAGTCCTTAAACAATCAGGGCTGTCATTAGCAAAAAGTATTTTCAAGAAAAAAGGTATTTTAGGATTTTATCAAGGAACAGGTGCTACTGCATTGAGAGATGTCACATTTTCAGTTATTTACTTTCCACTTTTTGCTCGTTTAAATAATCTTGGACCTAAACGAGAAGACGGCTCATGTAATTAATTATTTTATTATTAATTATTATTATATCATTAATTTATTATATGATGAATTTTTAAAACAGCTGTATTCTGGTGCTCATTTTTGTCTGGGTGTGCTGCTGGTTCAGCCGCTGCATTAACAGTTAATCCATTTGATGTTATTAAAACTCGATTGCAAGCTATCAATAAAGCTCCCGGTGAGCCAACTTACAATGGAGTTTTAGATTGCATAGGGTATGTTTTTTACTATAATATATTATAGTTATTAATGGATTTAATAATAATAAATTTATAATTACAGAAAAACTTTGAAAAATGAAGGCCCAACTGCATTTTTCAAAGGTGGTGCTTGTAGGATGATTGTGATTGCTCCATTGTTTGGAATTGCACAAACAGTTTACTATCTCGGTGTTGCTGAACGTCTTCTGGGTTTTAATTAGACAATAATTCATCAAATGAATACTGCCATACTGTAACTTATCAACCTATAACTCAATGAATGACAATAATTGATATTAATATTTTCAATAAGCTAGGACAATATATAGTTATATTAAGATATATTTTAATTAATGGATAACATTTGTTATCTTCCATTGATATTTCTTTATAGTTTAATTTAGATTTTTTTCTACGGACATTGTATAGTATATTTTTTTGAGATTTTTTAACTAGTCAATTGTTTTTTTTTTTTTTTTTTTAATAATATTAAATTTTTATTTGGATTCTAGTAGCGCGCACAAAGTAATATATTTTTATGATATAAATTCAATAAGCTTTATTATTGTAATCAGCTTAATATTGATGTAATTTAAATATTGATAGTTTAATGTAATGTTATTGTTACATACTACCGCATATCTTCCGTCAATAAAAATAATAGTATTGCTTATTATTGCTATTATAGTGTATTTTAAAGATAAACATGTCAATTGTATTACTAATTTCAACGATATTTAATGACTGTTGCCAGTAAATAATGAAACAAATGATAATAATATTTTATTGATGTTATACTCTATTAAAAAAATTGTAATTGTAATTATACAACATAAAAATAAAAGTATCTGAAGAAATAATTTATTATTGCCTTATATACTTAAATTGTTTGACCTTGTAAACATAAAAAAAAAATATATATATATTTGTATTTTTATAGATAAAAAAAATAAAAAAAATAAAAAAAATAAAAAAAAACAATCGAAGAATGAAAGTTATTAATTTTTTTCATCAACAGAAAAATTAAATATTATAAAAATAAAAAGTACTTAAAAAAATGAACTCTGATAATTTAAAAGCAAGTATCGATAATCAACTACCACAATCAATATTAGAAAATTTATATAAACCTCAATTACTTGACGCTGAAATAAAAAGAGTTTTGGAAATTGATAAAGAAAATTTTGAGTTGATGAAAAAGTTGTGTTTGATTTATAAAACTAAAGTCAGTTCACTGATTTAAGTATGTGTTATTAATTATTAAACATAAAACTAATTAAGTATTCTGATAGGGTAAGACAGATTGTTGGAGAAAAAATCTTGAAGAAAGTATTACCCATGACAAATGTAGTGCAGTTAAAAAACAAAAATATTTAGAAATTGATGAAAGAAATAAGGAGATTTATGGTAGACTTGAAAAAATTCATAATCGAAATAAAATTGACAGTAAAAAAGACAAAAATAAAAACAAATTTCACATGACGTAAGTATGCGATTTGATTAATTTAATAATATGAATTAAAAAAATGTATTTTTCTAGTATTAGAAAAATTTTCTTTGAAAATTCACAACCAGCGAAGCTAATAGTAGCAATAAAAAACTTAAACTCACGTCCCCGCTGTTTCTTTGAGTTAAGATTCGAAGAATCGAAATTATTATTAGGAAGAATAATCATAGAAGTATACTCAGATGTTGCTCCAAAAACATGTGCTAACTTTTTAGCTTACTGTTTAGGAACAAATAATGGACTTTGTTATAAAAATACACCCTTTTATAAAATAATTAATGGATATTTGTGTCAAGGAGGGGATGTTACTGAATTGAACGGTACCGGCAGTACCTCAATTTATGGGACTGAGTTTGAATGTGAAAATTTTAATTTGAAACACAATGTCCCAGGAATACTTTCAACTCTATACAGCACCGACAATACTGCTAATTCAAAATTTAACTTGACTTTTAAAAAATTACAAGTTTTAGATAATAAGTGTGCGGTATTTGGAAAAATTATCAGTGGTTTGTCAAACATTTATAAAGTACGTACAAAAAAATATTTGTAAGAAACTTAATTTATTACAGGAAAAAAAAAAGATAATTGATAATTTTTTTTCTTTTTTCAGATAGATGCGTGTGGTACTCAAATAGGTAGACCGAAAAAAAAAATAATTATATCAAATTGTGGATTGTATTAATATTTATTTTATTTTGAAAGTATAATATTGCAACAATAAATTAATAATTATCAAAAATACAAATGAGTACAGAGGAAGAAAGGCAAGTTGAAAGCAAAATATATACAGATAAAGATTAAATTACCTATACCTATATATATATATATATATATCTAGAACTTACACAGAACGGTCACTTTTAGAAACTATAGCGCTATGTGTTGTTGAGAAAAGGAGCAGTTTTAACAAATTACTGTGTTGCAATAAAATAATCATCATGGTTTTTAATTGAATTTAGTAATATTTTTATAAAGAAATCAATGTACTTTATCAAATCATATTAATGTTTAATTATTGATGTATTCAAGATAAAGTATGAAACTGATAGTAGCGTAATAAACTAATAACCAGTTGAAATATAATTATGACTGAGGGCTGCTTTGGATGATATTAATTCAATACATGGGTAACTGACATTTTCGCACAATACATTTATTATATCTAATAAAACGGGAATGAATGCAGGATCGAAATTCATTTTATCATCGATTTCTTTCTCAGTAGCCGTTTGAAAAAAGTGTGAGTACTTTTGATAAACCGCCATTACTTTGTATCTTCGATCAATTAGTAATGCCTGATCCTGTAAATAAATAAATAAATAAATAAATATTTATAAAGTAAAAAGTAAATTAAAATTGATTAAGAAAAAATATTAAGTTAATTACCATCCAAGTGGAAATAACCAAGTCTGGACTCCAATTTTTAGAACAAGGAATGCAATTACACTGAAAATTGTACTGCGATTCAAGTTTTTCACGTCGTTCCTTGATCGGATTCGCTTGAAAAAGGGGCCCATAAGTTATAAATAGTTGTTCATCTTTTTTAATATTTCTAGAAGCACGAAATACCAATTTATCAGCGCATTGGTTATAAGAGATATTGTCATCACAACTGTGATTAAAATAACTGACAATAGAACCCAGTAATTTACTTCTATTGTACTTTGTTTTATCTTTAACAATAACACCCTAAAAATTTTTCATTTTAAATAAATAATTAATAATAATTTAAGTTATCTCAATTATATGAAACTAAATTACCTCAAATGTATTCAAACTAGAAATATTCATGTGTTTTAAAATTAATCCTCCCAAAAAGACAGCCAGTTCGTTGTTAACAAGATCTCGTAAGTTATCATTACCATTATCGTTCAATAATTTAGTCTTTGATGCAAATACTGATAATAAATGAGCACTTCTTACCGGATAATCTTTATATAAATTTGATTTTTGCATAAATTTTAAATCATTGTACAAGTTATAAATAGTTGAATAGCTTTTATAATTAATTTTTTTTTCAAAATCATTTTTATCGGGACCTAAAAGTACAATATATATTTGATATTTAAATAAGGATAAGAAAAGTTATTTAAAAAAAAAAAAAAAAAAAATAAATACTTGATTTAATTTCATCAATTAATTTTTTTAATGACTCTAATGATCCAGCTTCTTTGATTGCTTTAATGGTTAATTGAACACTCATAACATCAAACCAAGCAAACTTATCCATGGAAAGTGAAGCCAAGATTTCGCATTCAATGTCATGGAATTTATTCCAAGCGGCTTCACGACAAGCCTCATTACAAAAAATGACCTTTGTACATTTTTTACATGGAATACTGGAATAAGTCTTTTGCGAACAATTCCAACAGTATGAGTACATATAATCGCGATTGTGGACTGACACATAAGCTTTTTGAACAAGAATAACTTCGCCGACTTTTATATCTTTAGCGGCTAAAAAATGTCGTCCGTATATCTCTGAATAATTAAGCTTTATGGCATCAGAAGCTCCTTTGATCAAGGGATTACTTTTGGGTGTTTTTGGTAAATAATTTGTTAAACAAATCGTATTTTTATCAAATGGCTTGTAAGAATACTTTTTAAAATCTTTCAACAATCGTTTTATGGTAGCTTTTTCACTCTCCTTGGATAATTTTCCAATCCACTGGCGAGTTTGGCTCATTGCCTCTTTAAGCTCAGGTCGTACTGTTTGTTCTACTCCCCACAATGCTTTAACACGACGAAAGTAGAGCTTTGCTTTTAATTCATCAGGATAACCTAATGCTAATGCTTTTGCGATATCTAAAAGACAATCTTCATAAAGGCCTTCATTACAAAATGTCGCAGAGCGGTTCGCGTACGCTTTAGCCAATTCTGGTGAATTTGGCTCTGCGTAAGCCATTGCTTTTGTGTAAATTTCAATTACAGAATACCATGGAGACATTTTTTTATTAATTTGTTCTTTAGCTTCAGCTAACAATTTATTTGCCTCTTCGTTACTTTTTGTAGCATATTTCAAAATACTTTTATCTAATTCCACGAGATGTAATATATAAGACATCATTTCTGATTCGTCTTTGAAATTAATTTCAGAAAATTTTTTCACGGTACAATTGTCTAAGCTCCTTGTTAAACTCTCTAAATCCATTTTTGTAAACTGAGAACTTTTGTAAGAAAAAAAAAATAAAAGTATTATTTACGAACAATTAATTAAATTTTACAATTACTGATAGTTACCTCATCGTTTAGAAAAATAATTCTGCTTTTTTCTTGGTAGTACATTCAATTATTTTCAAGTATTAATTATTTTAAACAATATAAATCAATCTGAAATATATTTAATTATTAGACTTAGACGAGGCTACGACTAACAGACGAATAAAACGAATTTATATCAACAACAAACTTATATTCTCTTTGTGCGTCTATTGTTAAATATATTCAATTTATACCATATATCAGAGAAAACGAATTCCTGCGTTGTTGCGTCATACACTTCTTTTGTGTACTGTTTTATCAACAATCGGTATTAAATAGGCGTTGTTTTTTTCTTTCCGCCGCATATATACGCCATAATAACTTTTGAAGCTATGTCCATGCCTGCTGCTGCTGACTTTGTATTATACTTTTTTTATTCTTTAAATTGGAATTATTTAATATAAAAAACACTTTCATGTTTAAATTAATTAAATTTTAAATATTCCATATTAACATTTTAACATTTATTTGAAAAAATATAATATTGTCATATACATATAAGACGACTGCGGTAACAAGACGTAATAAGTACATCAGTAAAATGTTTAGTTTAACATTTAAAAATCTTAATTAAATATCATCACACAAAAAAGTTATAAAACAACAGTGCAAAAAAACTTGTAATAATAATAATAATAAATTGTTTACTGCTTAATGATCACTGATGGATCCGTAAACAAACTCCAAAAAGTCTTTACAAGCCTCTATTTCAATACAAGGATATTCAACATGTTCACCATAAATATTCAATATTTGTGATAAGCAATAAATTATTTCATTAATGTACTGACTTGTTTTATCTGTATTATCCCACTTACTGCGTATGAATGACAAATACCTGGAAGAAGTCATTAGCTTGTTCTCAATTTCAACCGGCAATGATTGTGCCTATAATAAAAAAAAAAAAAAAAAATTATTATTTAATTAATCTAAGTAATTGTCCAACTTAATAATAAAAAGTTTTAATCTCGAAGAAAATAAAAACCTGGAAAGATGGCAAACGAAAATCTGGTCCCCAGTTATTGGAGCAAGCGACACACGCGCAAGAAAAATTGTGAACCTGTAAGTGCTGCTGTCGTTCTGCGGTTGATAAATTTTGAAATCTGGGGCCATAACTAATGGTTATTTGCTCGCCTTTTTTTATTACGCGAGATGAAAAAACAACATTTGTATTCCCTGATGAAAATTTGTGGGCATTTGGATCACAACTGTGATTAAATAGACTGAAGAAAGGCATCAATACGTCACAGTATGGAATAAACTTATCTGAATTACGTTTAACTCTGAGCTGTTAAATAATAAATAATAAAATTAAACATTTATATTTTTATACCGTTTACATATTTTATTTTAAAAAATCCATAGAAATTTACTTGTATAGCATTAGATCTACTTATTTCAACATGTTTAAAAATTAACTCTCCCATAAAAGTAACCCACTTATTATCCGTAAAATTTTCATCTTCAATTTTATCGTCAAACATTTTAGTTTTTTTAATTAAAAACCACAAAATCTCAGTAGATTTTTTTATTAAACAATGTGTTGAAGAATTGTTTGTCGTATTGATGATATTCAAGGTGTAAACGCTTGCATACTTTGAATCATCAAAAACATCTCCAGTAAAACCTCTAGTTATTGGATCTAAAAAAATATATTAAAAACAATTATTTATTATTTATTAGTATTTGTAATAAAGTTTGATTATTATTAATAATATAGTAATTACCAGATATTGAATCAATATATTCAATATTTTTTTTTAAATTCTCCAAAGATCCAGCTTCTTTGTATCCTTTAATAGTCAATCTGAGACCCATAATAAATACGGAATTAAATTTATCATCAGACATTGCATTGATAACCGGACATTCCAAATCATGATAATCGTTCCAAGCAGCATCTCGGCAATGTTCATCGCAAAAAATAACATTGAAACACTGAGTACATGGTACACTTGACCAAGTACGTTTTGAACAATACCAACAGTACTTGTAGAGATTTTCAATGTGTAAAATAGAAGCGTAAGTTTTGTGAACCAACAAGGTTTCGCAAGCTTTTATATCTCTGGTCGCTATAATATGCCTGCCGTAAGTTTCAGAATACTTTAGGCTCACAGCACTCGAGGTCCGTAATATTTTAGGATTATCTATAGGAGGTTGGGGCAAAAAAATACTTGAATCCCATTTTTTGTAAGAAATATCAGAATAATTACGTTGATTGAGTTTATTTAATATACTTTGAACTATTTTTTTGTTAGTATCATCCATTTGTGTTAACCAGTAATTTGTTTGAGCTAGTGCATCTTTTACATCTGGCCGGATTCGCGGATCAAGTGCCAATAAATTTTTAACTTTACGTACGTACAATCTAGCACGTAAATTATTGGGAAAATCGAGTTTTAATGCACGTTCAATGTCGTTTAATGAGTCTTGGTATAATTTAGCATAAGATAACGCTGCGGATCGGCTTCCGTAAGCAATTGCCAGTTGACGTGAATCGTCATTATTAGGCGCATATGCAATTGCTTGAGTGTATATTTCAATCACTGAAGATATTGCAACCGTGATAAAATTCTGATCAGCTTGATTAATTTTTTCTTCTGATATCTTGGCATGTTTTGTTTTTAAAGATTCATTTATTAATAATGACATTTCATTATTAATGTCAATTAAGTATTGTTTAATTGCTTTTTCTATTTTATTTTCATTTTCTGTATTGTCAACTAATGACAATTTGTCTAATAATAACACATCAACTTGTCTATCCATTTCTGTAATTACAGACAACTAATATTTATTATTATAGTTAATTAAATTAAATATGTCAACAAGCAAAATGTATGTATTTTTAATATTATTAATATTGTAGTCAATCATAAAAAAAAAAAAAATTAAATTAAATTTATCAACCTAAATAAGTATTTTAATTAATTAGTCATAGGCACAATATAACAGTATCTAACCTTATTTATGTATCAGTTTTATGGCGCCAAAATATATATATATAGGAAAGAACTCGGGGAACAACAGGAACGACGGGTGTAACTGGAAGTTTAACGGTTTAACGATGATTCGTTTTTTGCTAAAAAATAAATAGTGGTTGCTGATTGGTGTGATCAAGACGTACAATGTGTTATTCTATTGGTAATTTTTGAATAAATGCTGATATTTTATTGACTGTTGACTAACAGGTGAGACTTGAATTTAAACGAATGACATGAGTTTATTATATTGACAAATCGTTCAATAAAAATGAATTATAAAATAAAAAATTTTTCATGTAAATAAAGCTTTATCGGAAAATGACTCGTATTTCTCTCTTCCTCTTTCGTTTCCTCGTATTTTCTATCGTAAGTACCTATAAGCTGTAATAAAGTGGTATATAGAGAAAACGGAGCACATAGCGCATAGAATTATAGAATCAGAGGGTAGTAAGAGAAAAAGATAAATATAATGGCTGCTATTGTTGATGATATATGTATTTTAATGCGGTCATTCGAAAAAAAAAAGTCTTTAAATATATCTGGTGTGGTTTTATAATTTTTTTTTTTTAGAACTAAAGGATTATAAAGTAGTTAGTATTGTGTATTTAATTAATTAATTAATTTATACTGATTTATACATTGTCTATAAATACTGCTTATATATTAGTTATAGAGGTACTTTTGTTGACTTAAATAAGTCAATGTTGAGGCAAATGTGATTTGGTTATTTCACTTTAGCCGTTGCATTTATTTTACATATATGTACATAAATACATAACCTGAATTTCTATACCATTATACAGTTTGTATTATTATTATTATTATATATTAAATTTTGTGAATAGCGTCCTTGTTGATATATATATATATATATACTTGACTCGATCAAAAAATTTACGATAAAAAATATTTGTTAAATTTGTCAATACTCAACTGAGTAAAATCCATGATTTAAATAACATGTTCACAATTGGTATTATTTTATTTTTACTGTTGTCATTAGTTTAAATTAATCTAATTTCTAAAATATTTCGATTAATTATTTCAGCTAACGAGTTATTTTAACTTGTAACAAATCAATTTCGAATTTGTTAAAAAAAAAAAAAAAATGGATCCAGCAACAGTGATAGCATTGTGTAAAGAAAATATTCAGCCTTTGCGTCATGGCAGAAATGCTGCTCAGTTGGGTACTGCACTGAGGGCTCAAGAAGATGCTGAAACACAGCAAATGTTGATGCAAGAAAAACAGTAAGTTTAATTGACAATTTAATAATAATTTTAACCGACTATTAAAAGTAAAAAAGACATTAATTATTTTGTCATTTTTTTTTTTTTATTATAGAATGTACGAAGAGGCGATAAAAAATTACCAAGGTGATGATCCATTGGAAAGTTGGTATGAATACATACTGTGGGTTGAGCAAAGTTATCCAAAAAGTGGACATGAGAGTCATATTGGTAAATTATTACAACAGTGTTTAGCAACTTTTGAAAAAGAAACAAAATATCATCAGGATCGTCGATACATAAGATTGTGGATAAATTATATCAGTATGCAAAAAAATCCATTAGAATTATATCAATTATTATACAATACCGGTATTGGAACAATGGTAGCTGATATGTACAGAGCATGGGCCTTTGAATTAGAACAAGTTAACGACTGTAAACGAGCTGATGAGGTTTATATGCTGGGTATAACTGCTAGAGCTGAACCTCGGGATGAATTGATTTATGCGCGTGAAAATTTTCAAATGGCCGTTGGTCGTAAAGCACTTGGTTGTGATCAAGAAAAAAATGAAATAGCATTATCTGAACAACGACAAGCGTTCAGTTCTTTACGGGCCATTAAATCTGGTAAACGTGCAACTAATATTAGAACTGGACACCGTGTTAAAGATTACGTACCTGGTGTAGTACCACAATCAACATCTTCTCATTTTTACATGTCTGCTCCTCAAATTAAAGATGGATCTAAGTCTAATGCTAAAATTCAAATTTATCAAGACGAAGCTGCTGCTCGCGTTGACTTGCGATGTGCCAGTATATTAGATCATGTTCCAATTGAGGATACTGTACACAAAGAAAATACTATAAAACCTGGGCAATGGAGTAATTTATCTCGAAAGTATCCATTGATATCGCCATCAGTCAGGCCTGCATTTAAAGTTCACGAGGATCATTTGGATGATGATGATGATGATGATGATGATGATAATAATGTTGACAATAATATAAATATTAATTATGATACTTTACGATTATTTCCAAATCATACATCATTTTTTGATGGAAGTAAATATCCAGAACACATGGCTGTTCCTGTCTTTGTGCCAGACGTCCCTTCAGCTAATATTACAAAACCTCGTTACCCCAAAGATTTAGTTTATTTAAATAATATTGATCGCAGTATGGAAGAATTAAGAGCTGAAAAATATTATGATAGATTGAGAAATGCTGGTAATAGTTGTTCCAATACTGACGAAACATTATTGCTATCTGGAATTGGTCAAAATCTCAATGGATATACTAATAGCAATAGTAATATTAATAACAACAATGAAAATAATAATATTCACCATCAACAAAATCAACAGAATCAACAACAACAACAACATCATCATCATCATCATCATCATTATCAGCAACGAGAATCAGGTGTTTCTGATGAAAATTTTATACAAAAGCAATTTGAATTGGAACACCACAGAAGAGCATTAGAACAAAATCATGAAATAGAATTAGCAAGACAACGTAAACAAGCTGAGATTGAAAAACAAATGAGAGAAGCTGCTGAATTGGAAAAACAACAACGAGAAGCAGCTGAATTAGAAAGACAACGAAGAGAAATTGAAGTTGAGAGACAACACCGAGAAGCTGCTGAACTAGAAAGACAACAGAGAGAAGCTGCTGAACTAGAAAGACATCAAAGAGAAGCGGCGGCGGCTGCTGCTGCTGCTGCTGCTGCTGCTGCTGCTGCTGAAATAGAAAGACAACGTATTGAAGCTGAACGGATTGAAAGTCAAAGAATGGAAGCTGAATTGAGTCGGCAAAGTAAATTACAATCATCAAGTTATAATTTACACCATTCATCAAGTGGAGTTGTTGAATCTGGAGTCGAACAAATGCTCGGACAAAGTCTTACTGTAAATACTAAAGAAGCAATGTCTGTTGTACAAGACTTGTGGAATTCACCAGCTAATTCAAATTCACCATTAATTGAAAGTCCAATGCTACATAGATCATCTGTTGATTCACGTTCAAAATTAAATTTTGACATTCATATTGATAGTTCAATGACTCAACAGCATGCCATGTCTCTACCTAGACATCATCCCAACTACAATAATATTCAAAGTTATCATGATCAAGAAAATCATCAACCGTACAATTCACCATACAATCCTATACAAGCTCATCATCAGTCCTATCAAATTCCGAATTCATATCATTATCCAATTCAACAACAACAACAACAACAACAACAACAACAACAGCAACAGCAATCTATCCAGCATCTTCATTCACCACAAATACAGCCTCATATTCAACAGCAACACAACATGATCCAACAGCAGCATCATCACCATCATTCTCAAATACATCATCAATCTCCAATTCATCCACCGCATTTACAATCACCACATCTTTCACATCACTCACAATCACCTAATCTTCATACTCCTACTCATCAATTACAATCACAACAACATCATCATCCTCATCCTCATCATCACAGTATATCACCACATATTCCCCCACCACAAGGACATCATGTTTATAATCCCATTCATCCTAATCCAAATATTAATTATCATCATCATCATCATCATCATCATCATCAGCAACACCATCAACATCAACATCAGCAACCACAGTTTCAACAATCTCCTATGATGCATCATCCATCAATGCAATCAGAATCACAAAAACAACTTGATTTTGTACCTTTTATTGATCCTCAAAGTGATACTAATAAGGATTATAGAAGATCAGAGTTGCCATACATTAAATCACCTGGTATGAATCGTCGTGACTTGAAGTATCTTGAAAAAGCTGATAATAAAGAAAATAATACTGCTATTGATTACAATAGTATAATTGAAGATAATAAACAACCTGTAGAAAATAATTTATTCGTTGATGAGAGTCTTGGTATATCACCGTTAGCTGGTGCTAATGACACTTGTTATACTGAATCATTCCGAGGACCATTGCCTAGTTCTACACCAATGACTAACCAGTTTAGACCATCAACATATCGTACTAAAGATATGCCACACTTTCAACCTCCTCAATTACATTTTGTACCACATGTCCAACAACAACAACAACAGCAACAGCAACAGCAACAGCAACAGCAACAGCAACAACAAAATTCCGAGGTTCAAGTTAATGATCCTGATGATAAATTAAGCGTTATTATGGAATCAACTAGAGAATATATTTCAAGCAGTTCTGGTAGTAGCGCTAATACACGAACAACACAATTTGGGTTTACATTAACAACTCGGGAAGATCATTTGACCATAAAAGAACAATCTATTAGTCAAGATATTGAAAGTACTGAAGCATTATTATCGGCAAATGTTAATACTGATCAAAATATAAGAACAAAAATTCAATCAATCAATACACAAAGTCCACGTACAATGCAACGTAATGTTGATCAAATAACATCTGAAATAAAAAATAATTGTGATTTGCGTATACCATTTAATCTTGATCGTGAATCTTCAATAAAAATTGATAATAATAAAATAAATAATGATAACAATAAAAGTAATAGTAATAATATTAGTTCTATAACAACTAGTTTAACTATCACACCAATAAATAACAATACTATAAATAATAGTATTCCAAATATTATTGACGAACCTATGGAAGAAGCTAAGGATGATGATGATGATGATGATGATAGTAAAAATATTGAACCTGATAATAATGATGATGATGATTATGATAATGATGATGAGGCCGACAAATTTCAACTTCCTGTTGGTGATATAAATCCATTTGACAAGACTCTTATTTCGGGTCTATTGAGAAATATAAAATTTCCACAGCTCCGTCATTCAGATGGTTATGCAAGATTAAATATAAATATTAATAAATTTGTGCCTTCTAGTAAAATAACGTTAGGAACAGATACATACGAGTTGGAAAAGTGCCTTGGTAAAGGAACTTATGGTACAGTTTTAAAAGCATATAGTCCACAAACAGAAAAAACAGTTGCATTAAAAACTCAAAAGCCAGCTTGGGTTTGGGAATTTTATATCGCCAGAGAAATAAAAACACGTCTTAAAAATCCACATATGCTACGTGGATTCATGGATGTTACTAAAGCATATGTTACTAATAATGGAAGTATACTTGTATCTGAATTTTCTAAATACGGTACACTATTGGCTGTTACTAATCAAGTTAAAATAGCAACTGGTAAACCACTTACCGAAGCATTGGCAATATTTTTTACCATTGAAATGCTTCAAATAGTTGAGCACCTACATAAATGCCAAATTATTCACGGTGACATTAAACCAGACAACTTTTTATTAATGCATTTGTAAGTATTATAATAATAATAATAATAATAATAATAAATGTATGTAAATAAATATGTATAATTATAATTATATCAATTATTTTTGCAGACCAACTGAAGATGTAAGACCAACAATTCAATTGATTGACTACGGTTGTAGTATCGATATGAGTCTGTTTCCTGATGGAACAAAATTTACTCAAATAATAAAAACAGAAGATTTTACTTGTATTGAAATGCGAACCGGTCGTCCATGGACTTATCAAACAGATTTATACTGCGTTGCTGCATCTGCTCACTGTTTACTCTTTGGAACTTATATGCGAGCTGTACAAACTGGAGATCGTTGGTTTATTAATACCAAAATGCCCCGGTAAATTATATTTTGATTTTATATATATTAATATATGGAATAATTTTTATTTTTTTTTTTTTATACTTAGATACGTACAAAAAGCTTGGGAAACTTTATTCAATGAATTATTAAACATTGAATCATGTGAAAAAATGCCAGACTTGGGTGAACTTCGTAGCTTGATGCAAGAAGCGTTGGATAAAATTCCAGCATTGGAAATGAAACTCCGTAGTTTATCAAACGTATTAAAAGGACGATAACAATTAATTGGTGTTTGTTCAGCTAAAAAAAAAAGAAAAAAACAAACAAATAAAAAGTCAAACTCCATTACTCGTACCTAACGATTATATTGTATGTTATATGAAATTATCATCTAACTCTATTTATTAACTGATTTAGTGGAGAAAATAATTTTAAAAAAAAAAAAAAAAAAAAAAAAAATATGTTTCTTCATTAGTGTCAAATATACTATAAGATATTTTACGATGATTGTAAATACTCTATACAATCTAAGTAAATGACTAAAACATTTCCGGTTTCATAAATAATTTATATATGTACCTATAAACGTATTCAATATTAACTATCGAACAAATATAGTAGCTTTTCGATTGTAAGAAAATTAAATTTACTTATTATCACCGAATAATTTTACAATTGTATCTTTTTGTTTTTTTTTTTTTTTTTCTTCTTTATTAATAACTTGGTATAATTACAAACGAAATTAATATTTTAACCTAATGATAAATTAAAATATAATATAGTAATAGTTATTTTGATTTGTATAAATCGATATTCAGTAAAAGTGAGGTCCAAAATTTTCTCTCTGCTCTTTACAATTCACTGTTATTTTTAATTATAATAATCATATTAAATAAATGAGAATATGCCTTACCTTGTTTTTGGACGGTGCAACATTTCATCTTGCAATTATTAATGTTACAAAATTAATTATTTTGAAAAGTTGGCTTTTGTTTATGTGAATAAAGAAATAAATTAAAAGTTTAATGGTTTTGTTTTATTTAGTACATATAAAAAGGTATAATAATTTATTTAATATTTGTAATAAGTTCCAATGGGAATTATTTTTTTGATATTATCTGAGGTTGCACTGTCAGTTAGTAAATCTAACGACTCGAAATAAATAGACTTGTTATAAGATACAATGTATTATTAAAAATATGTATACAATATATTAATGATAAATGACCAATTGGTATAAATAATGATTAAAATTAATTGTTATTGTTACTGATAATTACATACTTTTTACTGTCTTATCAATTAATATAAAAAGAAAATAAAAAATAACTCGATGTTTACATAATTAATTACAAGTTTTGCCATAAAATTTACGATTTAATAAATATAATAAAAGATTGACATTAACTTTAGCTTTATCAAATAAATTTAGAATGGGAGCACCCTCAAATTGAAGTTGTAATAATTTTTGTATATCTATTTCTATTTTTTCCATTTCAACACCCATAAATTTACCTTTTATTGTAAATAGTCCACTGTGTTCTGTTGGCGTTATCTCAAAAGTAACATTTTTAAATTGTCCATGCGAAAGACCATCAATTTCTAACAATACTCCTTTTTCAGCAAGTTTTGTTGCTGAATATTTAAGAGTTTTTTTAGATTTTAAACTAGCATGATTGTTGTTATTATTTTTTTGTTGTTGTTGTTGTTGTATTTTAACAGCACGTAGTGTACCCTTGCCAGTGTGAAGATTATCTAAACAACGTTTTGTATATTCATTATAATATTGAACTTGTTCAGCGTAATATTTAGTTTTTTCCTGTAAACGTTGTCTAGTAATTCTTAATGCTTGTAATTCTTTATTTCTTATCATACGATACTTTCCTTTATTACACAAATCTTTAGCAACAGCAGTAACGATAGTTTGATAACCGTCTTCTCTTGTTAGATATTTTCCATGCTCCAATTTAGTTAAATAGGCACGTAATTGAAATTTACAATCATTTAATGATGAACTATTTCTGTATATTGTTGTATTTATACTTGTATTAGTTGTAAATTTAGCATCATAAAGTTTTTGTTGAATTGGTGTTGTTGTGGATTCTAGTGCACTAACAAGTGTATCACCTTTTAAAAATTGTATCACCGAGACCAATAATTCTTTTGTTTTAATGAATAATTTTTCAAGACTCTGATCATCATTGTTGGGAACTAAAAATTTGTTAGTAAGTACCAAGCATACTTCTGTTTTACCCATTCGAGCAACTGTTGAATCACATACTGGCTCTGTAACACCCATCAAAGATGTAATTGTTGGTGCTGATGGTTGCAAATCATCTAATAATTTGTGAAGCTGATCATTGAGATCAGGTGCTATTTCATATTGATACTCCAGAACTAATGAATGGGTATCACAAATTTCTTGAATAGAGATATAAATTTCTGGTTTATGAATTAAAGTTGCTTCTGTATACTCATGTATATTAAAATGCTGATCAATATCTTCTATTTGACAACAGGAACGGAAGAAATTTTTAAATTTTTCATGACAATCAATTATAAATGGATTTAAACATACTAAATGTGATGCTTCCTCGCCAAATCCTTTTTTCGAGGCTGCAAATTGTAAAATTTTAGCAATACTGGCTAAATTTCTTCTTTGATCATTGGACAATGATTTTTCAATTGGCAATGTTATTATATCAAAAGCATCTGGTGCAACAATAGCTGCATTTATAAAATGATAATAAATTAAATTACCAATAACTTTAAGTATATCCTTTTCTGGTGCGTTAGGAAATTTTTCAGATAATGTTTTATAAAGTACTTTAGCTATATAAAGCATTCCATAAGGTATTAAATTACGTGATTCAGTTATTCTTTGTAAAAATTCCAATACTGTACTCTGAAGTAATTCTATTCCAGCAGACAATTTTTTACGTACTTGTTCATAAGTTAATGCTTGTTGTTCTGTTACTGAATATGGTAAATTAATTGTTTCTCCAGTTTTCATTTCCAATTGATTTCTCCAACATTTATAAATATCAACTGGATTTGTTTCAATACTTATACTTTTATCGGCTAATACTTTTTCAATAACAGGACCCAATATTTGTCTCAATGCTCGTTGTCCATTCAATTGTCGGGCATAATTAACAACCATTTTTAATACCAACGGATTACCAGTTACTACTTCTGATGGTTTTTGAAATTTAGATCTTATTTCCTCCTCCAGTGCTTTACCAAATAATTTTAATAATAAATACTCTTCTCTTATATTTGATCCAAAATTATATAATGTAAGAATAACATTTTGTAAAAATTTATTTGATTTACTTTGTGGTAAAAGAAATAATAATTTAGATAAATATATTGGATTTGTTTGCAATGCATAAAAAAGATGTTGATAACCTTCTAACATTTTTCTTCCTTCTTTGGTAAGTGATTTTAAACCTTTGTAACTAGATGTCTCGGTAAATGAATTTTTACGTAATCTATTGTTATTTTTTTCTTTAGCAAGACTCTCTAAACTTTTACCGTGTGCAATAACATCCTGTAATGTTATTCTATTTTGTATTAAAAGGCCTATTTTAATGTCCATACTATTTAATTGTTGGGCTAAATTTTCATTATATTTTATTGTTTTAACAACATCATGTTTTAGCTGTTGTAATTGAAGATCTTTGTCATAATCCTCGGCATTGAAATTTAATACAGTTGAAAAATGACGTACAACTGGAAATGGTGGCTTTTCCATACGTAACAATGAAATAAATGCTTTACGTGTTTTTTTACCACGCCAATATGCTTGAATTTTTATTATTTTATCTTGATATTGTCGATAATAATCCAATGGGTCTGATATTTTTGTTACTGATGAAAAAGTAATTAATTTTTTTCCTTTTTCTTCTTTTTCAACTTTTTCAACTTTTTCTTCTTTTTCTTCTTCTTCAGCTTCTTTATTGTATATTTCACTCAAAATATTAAGATAAATACGACGTTGTTTAATTCCCCGCCACCATGCTTGAATTTTAACAATATAATCAGAATTATCATAAAAATGTGTCAAACGTTGAGATATTTTTGTTCTTAATAAATAACCACGTGCTAACGCTTGAAAATTAATAATTGCTTGTTCATTAAATTTATCAGATGATAAATTATATTCATCATTGGCAACAACATTTATTATTTCTTCTATATCTTCCACAGTAATAAAATTAGTATCGGTTATATTCTTCGGTTGGTCCCAGGTGTATGTAAGTTTATCAAGATCTATAAATGCTTCAATATCGCGAGGTGTTACACAACAGATGTAAGAACACTTGTATTGTCTTTCTTTATATTCTTTTAAATTTTTTAAATACTCAAAGTATTTTTCACAGTGTTTATCAATTATTTTAAAATTAGCACTTTTAATACACTCTACCGTAGTTGATAAATCATTATTATTTAAGGCATTATTGATTTGGATTAATATGTTAAATACATTTTGTACGTGAGTTACTTCTTCAACAACAATTTTAGCAACAAACTCAACATCTTCAAGCCATAATTCGGATCTTTCTTTACTTATTTCATCTAAACATTGTTTAAATAATCTCAAATACAATGTTGCGTCATTTTCCATAATCGGTACTGTTGGATCTAATAAATTATTTTTTAAAGCCGTCATTAGATCAGATTTATTATTTTCCAACACAGATTTATTTAATAATCTCAATGTATCAATAATTTGATCGTCATTTTGACACTGCTGATTAACTAAGTCAATTATTTCTTGTATATCAATGTACGTCAATATTGGGCATTTATTATTATTATTATTATTTATTAAATGTTTATATCGTTCATCAGCCAATGAATGATAATACTTAACTTTATTATTTTTATCGAGGTTTGTTATTTGAGTTTCCGGATTTGACAATGCTTCAAATACTAATTCTGGATTATTAATATCAATTGCTTTAGAAACAGCCGCGATAGCTGTTAATACACGTATACTGACTAAAATATCTTGATAAGAAATATCACACTTTGACTCTGTACGATCTATCTTCATTTCTTCATAATAGAGTGGCACAGCAAATTCATCAATAGATTCTCTGATACCTAAATACGGATTAATTAATGCAGTATAAAATAAGTCTTGTGAATCATTATCAAGAGCTAAATTCAATGATTTAACCGCGTCTTGAATTTTCTTATTTTTATTTTCATCATCATTTATTTCGTCTATTTTTTGTTGTAATAAATATTGCCAACGTATTGTGTTTGAAACAAAATCTTGCTCATTCGATAAACTTTCAATGAATACATTAAATCCTTGTTTATACTGTTTGATAGATTTCAATGCAATACGCTGTAATTCAAGCCCTGGATTATTTAAACATTTAACAAATTCAGCCTCATTGTCACCATTTAATGATTTAACAAGATTTTGAAATGCTACCAATGAATTAACATAATTAATATGTCCTTGTATTTCAGCTGGTGTTAATAATTCATCGTATACATCCGGGACATAACTGTCATTCAATGATCTGTTAAAAGCAGCTTCTATTTTATCTTCTTTGGCTTGTTGTAAAACATCAAAATAATTATCTATCAATTCTGAATTAACATTTTTTAATTTAGCAACAGGCTTTGATAGTACTTGTAATAATAAATTACGATCGAATGTTGTCAATACTTGATTAATAGCAATTACAGTAGCATGAAGAGCCGCTGTATCTTCAGCCATACTACTCAAAAGTAAACCACCAATTTTTTGAAATGATGGCATTTGTATACCATATTTTTGAAGCTCTTTACTGACAGCATCAATTTCAGCATCTGTGAAATTAACTTTCCCATACAAATCTTGTATCTTTGGAGCTTTACCTAATTTAAATAAATGTGTACTTAATGCGTGTATGCAGTAAATAACTCTCGGCATATTTTTTTTATCATAAATGTCTGTCGTTTCGGGTTGAAATATCTGTAAATTATCAAGTCCAACGTTATCAAAAATGAAAATAAATTAATAAATAAATAAAATTTTTTGTTTAATATTTACCATTGGCAATTGAATAGATTTTAAACACTTGATGAAATGATTAATATTGTCAGTATGTTTAAATTGTAAACCGGCAATTTTGTATCTCTTCTGATCAATATCATATATTTTATTATTTGGACAAGACTCTGGATCTATAAAGTGTGCAAGTTTTGCTAAATAAACTCCGTTTCTCAAATTTTCTTCAAGTTCTATAGTCGAAGGTAATTTTTCTCTGAGACATGCTTCCATCCATCTGTTGTTATGGAGTAAAAAATAAAATAAAATATCAATAGTAGTGAGAAAAAAAAATTAAAAGTTAGTCATATAAAGATGGTATATTTACATTTTAGCTTCTTCCAAATGACACAAATATTCATAAGCAAGAGTTTTTTGTCTTTGTTCATCCATTTCCTCGGCTGATTTACGAGTATCAAAACCTTAATAAATAAATAAATAAATAAATAAATAAACGATTGTTATTATTGAAGGTATTTTGGAGTTAATAATTTTTTTACAGCTCTGTTATATATAAATGGGAAAAAAAAAAAAAAAAAAAAAAAAAATATATATAGTTATATATTAACGTAATTGTCTTTCAATGATAATCAAATAATAAAACAATTAAAACAAAAATTTATATTTCAACGTGATCAAGTTGTTTTGGCAATACCTAGGTGCTCATAATCAGTATAATTTACCTTTTTTGCCTAACTAGGTATTTAAATATTAATAAAATAAAATAAAATTATTAAAATTAATGTAATGAATACTACTTACCATTATTTGGATTAATAGATTCGGGTGTGACCCCCGTCATTGTGAGCAAATGTTTCTACGTAATAACTACTCAAAGTGCTCCTAAATTCTAAATAAAATGCAAATTTAACAAAATGTCGTAGACTGAAATATATATTATATATAACACTATTTATTAAACACAAGCAACACGAGGGACGTTATTATATTGTCCTTCTCGAAATTTAAACGCAACAACGTATATCATATTCGCAACGGTTGAAATTAGTTTAAATATCTGAAATAGGGGGCGTATTAATTTTATCAGAAAAAAAAAAAAGAACCAAAGCAATCGAGAGAAAACTGCCAACATCTCCAAATAAAGTACCTACAACAATCAAAAAAATATATATTAATTTGTATTGTAAATATTTTATTTATGATTTCCCGCGCTCATACAATAACATTATTAATATCACTGATAAATAAAAATTTTAACAACTTTTAAAAATTTATAGGTATTTTAAAATATCTAGCATAACCTATTTATTATATTAAATTAGTTAGTCACATTAATTAAAATAACGAAAATTTTTAAGTAATAAATAAACAATGATTGGGTTACATAACCTCGTTAAAAATAATGAAATTCTGTTCAATTTTAAAAAATGTTAACTTTTTTGCCAGGCAACCAATAAAGATAAGGAATTGTAAATTTAGTGTTAGTAGTACAATAAATCAAAAAAATATAAATCGATGTGATAAAAAATTAATTGAAATTATGAAGGTATTAAATGTCGCTGAAAAAAATGATGCTGCGAAAAATATTGCTGCTCATTTGGCCAGAGGAACCAGTAAACGGGTAAAATAATAATTTTTATTATTTGAATTATTTGAATTATTTGAATTATTAATAGCACTTTACGTTTAGATTTAATGTATATAATTGTTTGTTTGCAGAGGGAAGGATTATCAAAGTTTAATAAAATTTACGAATTTAAATTACGATTATGGAATAAAGATTGTCAAATGATAATGACCTCAGTTTCTGGTCATTTAATGACTTACGAATTTGTTGGTGCATACAGATTTTGGCAGAGCTGTCATCCTTTAAGTTTATTTGATGCTCCGGTTATTAAAAATTGCGCTGATGATAATTATGTTAAAATAAAAAAAACAATAGAACGAGAAGTTAGAGACTGTAGTGCCTTAATTATTTGGACTGATTGTGATAGAGAAGGTGAAAATATTGGATTTGAAATAATTCAAGTTTGTCAAGCAATTAAACCAAACATAAAAGTCTACAGGTAGTTCATTATAATAATAATTATTATTATTATTATTATTATTATTTTTTTTTTATTCAATAATTTAAATTTTTTACTTTGATTTTAGAGCAATATTTTCAGAGATAACGGCGGCTTCTGTTACGAGAGCGGTTCATAATTTGGCTGAACCTAATAAAGCACTAAATGACGCTGTTAACGTCAGAAGTGAATTGGATTTAAGAATAGGAGCGGCGTTTACTAGATTTCAAACGCTTAGATTACAAAAAGTATTTCCACAGAGTCTAGCACAAATGCTGATAAGTTATGGAAGTTGTCAATTTCCAACTCTTGGTTTTGTTGTTGAACGATTTTTAGCGATTGAAAATTTTAAATCTGAACCGTACTGGAAGATAAAAGTTGTTGATAATCATGATGGAATTTGTACAGAATTTCGTTGGGCAAGATACAGACTTTTTGAAGAATTACCTTGTCAAGTATATTTGGACATATGTTTAGAAAATCCAGATGCAACTGTCGAAAATGTTACCAGTAAACCAAAAAGCAAATATCGTCCGTTACCATTAGATACTATTGTAAATTTTATACTTAATATGTGTTATATAATTGAAAAGTCTATACACTTAATTTAAAATAATATTATTAATATTTATTTTTTTTTTTTTTACAGGAACTTGAAAAGCAAGGTTCAAAAAAATTAAAATTAACTGCCAAGGAGACAATGAAGATTGCTGAAAAATTGTATACTCAAGGTTTTATAAGTTATCCACGTACAGAAACAAATATATTTCCAAAAGAATTAAATTTAAGATCATTGGTAGAACAACAAGTTAATAATCAACAGTGGGGCCAATTTGCTCAACGTGTATTAGAGGAAGGTGTAACACCTCGTCAAGGTAAAAAAAGTGATCAAGCTCATCCACCGATTCATCCCACAAAGTATGCTGATAATCTTCAAGGGAATGAAGCTCGTGTTTATGAATTTATTGTACGTCACTATTTGGCTTGTGTGTCAAAAAATGCTGAGGGTTACGAAACAACTGTTGATATTGATATAGCTGGTGAAAAATTTTCAACAAGTGGATTACAAATAATAGCTAAAAATTATTTAGAAGTTTATATTTATGAAAAATGGAATTCTAAAGAAATTCATATTTATGAACCTCGTCAAGTATTTCGACCAACTACTATAGAAATGGTTGGTGAACAAACATCACCACCAAATTTATTAACAGAAGCTGATTTAATTTCATTAATGGATAAACATGGAATTGGTACTGATGCAACACACGCTGAGCACATTGAAACAATTAAATCTCGTCAGTATGTTGGTATGAGAGATAAAGAACATATTATGCCTGGTAAATTAGGTATTGGTTTAGTTATGGGTTACGATAATATGGGATTTCAAATGTCTAAACCATATTTACGATCTGAATTAGAAAATGATTTAAAGCTTATATGTAATGGGGTTAAAAATCCACAACAAGTACTTGAAACTCAAATAAGTAAATACCGTACAGTTTTTAAAGCAGCATTGGAACGTGCTAATTTATTAGATACTGCTCTTGCTGAATATATTGATGAACGTCCTTCAGCAGTTGCTGATGATTTAGAAATAAATAATCCACCAGAGGATCCGGTATTTTTAAAATGTCCAAAATGTGGTTTAAACATGACATTAAAAGATCGTAAACAGACCGGTGGAAAATATCTAGGTTGTATGGGATTCCCTGCTTGTAATAATGCTATTTGGTTTCCAACCGCTGTTACAGATGTTATTATTTCTGATAATATTTGTGATATTTGTCCTGGTAATTTAAAAAAAATGAAATTTAAACTTAGACCAGGCGCTTTTCCAATTTTTGGATCATCTTACGAGACTTGTATCGGTGGTTGTGATAATACATTCAATGAAACCATGAATATTAATTTAGGTTCTGTACAAAGAGGTGCTCAATCATCAGACAGTGGTTATACAAGTAATAATAATAATAATAATAATAATAATAATAATAATAATTCAACATCCACACAAAGTTATAGAAATTCACAGTCATCAAATCATACAAGTAGAAGTAACAATAATACAAATACTTCTGGTGGACGAGGTGCAAGCGCATCTTCCAATTCATCCATTGGCTTAGTTGGATTTCAAAATAATAGCAATAATAATAATAATAATAATAATAATAATATCACCAGACCAAGTACATTCAATAATCGTGATAATCCTGGAAGAGGTAGTAGTAATAATTATTATTCAAATAGAAATAATAATACCAAAAGAAATAATAATCATTGGCCTGATGATTTTCCTGATACAAAACGTCCTAAGATAACCAAAACACCAACAGGTATGAATTCATCAAGTATAGTAGATGATACTGAATCATACAGTTGTAATTGTCATCAACCAGCGATTAAATTGACCGTTAAAAAAGATGGACCAAATAAAGGGAGGCAATTTTATAAATGTGCTAAACCTCAAGACAGTTCATGTGGTTTTTTTTTATGGGCAACAGATGTTCCTGTTACTAATAAATCTGTATTTTCACCGCCACCTCCGCCACCACAACGAAATCGTAATTTCGTTAATAATCAAATGAGACCACCAAATAATTCAAATACTACAGCAGGTACATTCAATTCATCTCATGGTAGTAACGATGGTAATGACAATGTTATCTGTGTTTGTGGTCAACCAGCCCGCAAGTATGTATTTTTTTTTTTTTTTTCCATTACTTTATCCATGTTTAAATTTAATATTTAATGTTTTATTATTATTTTAAAGATTAACTGTAAGAAAAGACGGCCCGAATAAAGGTAGAGAATTTTATTCATGCCCTCAAGGGAATTCAAGCAATTGTAATTTCTTCGAATGGGCAAGCAACAATTCAGGTGGAAATAATGATACGGACAATGAATGGGGCGGTAGTAGTAGTAATAGTTATGGTACATCGTCTAGAGGAGGAAGTGGCGGCTCAAGAGGACAGGGACGTGGTAGTAAATCAAAGACAACTGGTGGGAAGCGAAAGTGCGGAATTTGTGGTGTTGAAGGTATTATTATTATTATTATTATTATTAATATAGATAATTGTTAATATAAAAATTAATTTTTTTTTTATTTACAATTATAGGCCATACAAGAAAAACATGTCCAGAAAATGCAATGGATTAAACAAACAACAAAACGTGTGATTATTGTAAATAATAATAATAATAATAGATGTATTATAATTTGTAAATTACTATCATAAATCGCGCTACATTAAGGTAACTTTTTATAGACTATACATATCGATAGTTATTACGAATTATTCAAAATATTAAGTTGACAAACATTGTTGAAAATATTTTTACAAAAGCGTTCAGTCAAGTTTAATATTAAATTTATAACCGTTTATTATAAGATATTTTATTTTTTAAGTTTTCAACGTGGTCTTTGTTTAATTGTACTTGAGCGGTAGTTTCTGTTAACTGAAAGATAAAATTATTCGTTCGATCAAATAATGTTATATAAAATAAGGGTGTTTAAATTTTTTTTTTTTTTTTTTTTTTTTTTTTTTTTTTTTAAAAAAACCAAGCTATTAATAAATTTGATTTTATTATTACTTACCATATCTAACATTAATTCAAATTTTAATCTAAGGAAATTATTTTCTTCCTCCAATCTACTGATTTCTTTTTTTAGTTTTTCATTTTCTTTGTACGTAACTCCTATTTTACCTGAATCTTAAAATTTATAAAATGATTAAAAAATTTATAATTAGATATTTTATAAAGAATAAATATAATATAATTACCAGGAATCCAAGTACCACTGTCAAAGACTGATTCGTGATCACCAAGACGTATTTTAATTGGCCCTATTTCAGGACCAAGTTCTCTTTCAATACGTTGAGGACTTAGATCTCTATTTGCTAAAGACGTTGGTGCTTTTCTCAGCGGAGTTTTTTTTGGAGAAAATTTATTTGTAAAAAAAGGCATATTTAACAACAATCTTAATAATTTATCAATTTTAATTGTTATTAGAATCAAAATGATGTAGAATAACAAAAAAAAAAAACATTATACTGTCAAAGTGACAGATGTTTATAAACATAATTAAATTTAGTTGATAACGCTGACGTGTGGGGATGCTAGTTGTATTATTTTAAAAATATACTTAATATTAAAATATAAGTAACACAGCAGCAGTGTTTATTTATTTATTTGATAATTTATATTTATCAAATCTTAAGGTATTTTTTTTTTATACAAATTATTTTCATTTAAAAATAAGTACAAGTACTTAGCAAGTTATTACAAACTTGATATTATATTATTTAAAAAACATAATGAAAACTACTTATCTAAAATATTAAATTGATAAAATACAAGTGGCTCCTCATTGGTTCAAAAAATATGTAGAGATTAAATACTTTTGATACGAGATTATTAGATATAGAAAATTAAATTTTTCTTTTTTTAATTGATTTAAATGACATAAACTGAATTTAATTCCAAAGAGTCTGGTACATTTTAAGCTAAACGTTTTCAATAATGAAAAATAATGAAAATTTATTGCTCTCGAATAAAAAAAGAAAAAAAAAATTCATTACATTATTATTTAATATATAAATTTATTGATTATTTTGAAAATTAATTAGCATATTCATTGAAGATTTTTTATTTATAAACTAGAAAAAAAGAAAAAAAAAAATAATAAAATAAAAAAGTGAATCTCGCTTTGTCTTGATACTTAGTAAACATAGAAATAATTGATTGGTATATTTTTTTCCAAATATATTTTTTGTAATAATAAATTATTAAAAATATTTATATTTGTATTATTTTAAATAAATATGTAAACTATTTTTTTTTTATTTCTTTTTTTTTTCTTATAAAAAATATTATTTTCTTATATGGTACTACGATTGCGATGGCTTTTTTCTTCTGCCGAAGAAGTTACTCAATACAGAACTACGTTTATAATCTCGATCTTTACGAGAGCCCCCAGAACTTTGTTCACTTTCTGAACCACTTTCTGATGCTCGTCTACCGTCAACTACTGATACTGTTGGCGTAGTAGGTGAAACAGCTGGAGGTGGTGCTACATAAGGTGGTAACGATGTCGGTCTACTACTAAACGAATTTGTCGTTTGTTGTCCACTCTAAACCAAACAAAAATTTTTTTAATTATTTTTATCAAATTAAAATTTTTTTTTTTTTATTATAAAATTAATAAATTACCTGTCTCATATTAACTGTGTTTCCATAAACTGCAACAAGAAGAAATAATAAGAAATTATTAATTTATTTAAGTCAATTAAAAAAAAAAAAAAATTAAACAATTGATACATGCTCGGCTAAAAATAATAAATCAATAAATTGTTCAAGATAAAAAAAAATTCATGCGAGACAAACATACAATTACTATTATTATTATTATTTAAAAAAAAAAAAGTCACACATTCAAATCTTTAAAACTGACCAGGATCTTGAATATTCTGTTTATCTATGTTGGTCGGTGGTTCACTCGATGGTAAGGGAGGTGCTATTTCTACAAAATTGTCAATTTAGATTTACCAATCACAAAAAAATAATTATTAATTTTACTAGATAATAAAATTATATAAAAAATATTTTATACCTTGTGGTTGTGAAGTGAAATCCATACTTCCTGGTCGGTGCCGTGTTGTATTATCATTAGTATATCCCTCTGAACCATTGTGATTTAACGGTGAACTTTTATGTTGAAAAGACTGTGGTCTCGTTGGTGGCACATACTGCTCGACATCTTAAATAAACAAAATTAATTATTAGTTTGAGAAAAAAAAAAAAAATAAAATTTATTTATTTATTTATTATTACTAATTACCATTACGTCTTAGCGGAGTAACATTATCTGTACTGGGCGATCTTACAGGAATTGGGGGTGGTGCTCCTCTAGGTGGAACTGGTGGAGTTTGATATTGATCTCTTTGACTTGCCGCCAATTGTTCATGATGAATCAACTGTTGCTGCTGTTGGTTTTTATGTTTTTGTAAAAATTCAGTTTGCGGTTGTGATATAGATTCACCAGACATTAATTCTGAATAATTTCTAGTTCCACGGATTTGTTGAGCTTGCCGGTGTTTTTGTAAAAATTCAATTTGAACATTGCTGGATGATGAGGAGGATGACAAAGAATGAGTCGGATTAACAGTAGATAAATCTTGAGTAGTTGGTTGTATATCTCGACGTATAACTGAATTTTTACGTTCAAATTCAGGAGTTGATAAATGACTACTTCCAGTAGAAGCATTATCATCACCAATAACTTGATCAGGTGTTATAGTTTTTAATCTATCTAAATCATCTTTTTGTGATTCATCATACTTTAATAGCTGCATACTTGGTGGTAATCTAGCGTGGAATAAAATTTTATTAACCCAGTCTTCCATTTCCTGTTGATTAGAAGCAAGGAATAAAAATTCAGAACCATCAGTACATCTAAGACGAAATACGTGTTTACGTTTTGTATAATCATCAGCTTTTTCACACGTGGCATTGTAAATAGTTATTGGAGCAGTAGAAGCTTTACTCAATGAAAAATCACTGTAATCCTTAAAGAAACACAACAATTGTCCACAAAGTACAGTAAAATATTGTTTCCATGATCTTATAGCTGCTTTTTTACCACCACTTTGTAATTCATGTTTACGTTCAAGTATACCTTGAATTTCAACAGGACTCAGTGGATCCATATTTTCCATACGTTGATGTTTACGGAAACTTTGAGTTCGTCGTCTGGTTGTAAAGCTAGGTGTTCGTTTAGGTTTTTTAGTATCAATTTTCATACTCTCGGCACGTTTAATATCAGGTAACGTTGTACGTTTTAAACGATCACCAAATACATGAGAAATACCGTGTAATTTTGATGAAGGATTCATACCTGAAGTTGATGATTCTTGGGTTATTTTTAATGGTGATAAACGATTAACTACTGATTCATTATTGTTGTTGTTGTTGTTGTTGTTGTTGTTGTTTTGAGTATTGTTATTATCAGTAGATGATTGAGCATTACCATTAACAATATCGTTAGTAGTACCACCACCACCACTACGATTATGAGAATTATTGTCTAATTTACGTCTTTCTTCTTCCCGTTTACGTTCTTCAGTAATACGTTGTACTTCTTTTTTCTTACGTTCTTCAATACGTACACGTTCAATACGTTCTTTTTCAGCTTGACGTGCTACTAATTCAGCTTGTTGTTGTTTTTGAAATTGACGTTCTAACAATGTTATACGTTTAAGAGATTTAAATTTATCCTCCTGTGCTTCAATTGTTTTTTCAAAATCTTCATGCTTTCGTATTAAATCTTCAACTTGTGGTATTGTATCACCAAGATTATTATCATTAAGCATTGGTTCACGACTTATTATCCAATTTTCAAGTGTTTCAGCTTCACGTTTAAATATTTGTGTATCTAAATTCTGTTCATATATTAATTTACGTTTATCCCATGTATCTATTAATGTTTGTTTTTTATTTTCAAGAACAGAAATTTTATCTTTTATTTCTTTAGATAAAAAGTGACCCTGTTTAATTAAAGCATTACCTGTTTTATTAAATTTATAAAATTCATCCTGCCGAGAATCTATTTCAACTTTATATTCATTGTGTCGAGATATCAATATTTCAGCACCAGGAACATCACGTGCTAATTCTGGTGCTGTTACTTTAGCAATCATTTCATTAATCCAAAATGATAAATCTCTGTATTCATCAAAATAAGCCTCAAGCTGTTCAGCTTGTGTAAGTTTATTTTGTCTTTGTGCTGCCTTTTCTAACAATTCATTCCAACTTTCATCAACTTCTTCATGTTTAACCGCAATATGTTCACGTGCATCAGGAAATAATTCAGCAAGTCTTGATGCTTCAGCCATAACAGATTCAACTTGCTCTTTAACAGCCGCTAAATCAGTTTCAAATCCTTTATGTTTACGTACAAGAGCTTGAATTGTTTCAAGATCATGCCCATAACCATCAGCACTCAAACTGGCCTCTTTTTCTTGAATCCATGATATTGTTTCATCGGCTGTTCTATCAAACATATGAACTTGTTTAGCACCAGCCAGTGCTTCTTGTCTAGCATGAGCTAATTCTTTTAAATCATCCCACTGTTGTTTAATTTCATCTATTTTATTACGTATTTTAATATTTTCAGGATTTTTTTCTTGAATTAATTTTTCACCAGCTTCTATAATCATAAATACACGGCTTTCACTGGCAGTTAAACCACTTAAAAAGTTATCAAATATTTGAATTAATAATTCAACGTGTTCAACATCACGTCCATAATCTTCAGATGCAGCAACTGTTGTTTGATCACCAATCCATTCAATAACTTCATCAGCTTTACGTATAAATAAAAATAATTTTTCACTTTCAAGTAATCTATGTAATCTAAAATCACGTAATTTTTTTAATTCTATAAATTTTTGTTTAATATCATTTTGTTTTTGTTGAATATTATTACTATCAAAATGATTACGATTTATTAAACCTTGTGATAATTTATTTAAATTATCAATAGTTGTTTCAAAAGATGATAAATCACGTTCAAGATCCTCTAATTTTTTTAATAAAGATTCTACAGAATCTTCATCTTTACCATAATCACTGGATGTTAATTGAGGATATTTTTCTTTAATCCATTGTTCAGCTTCACCAGCTTCAGCATAAAACATTTGTGATTCAACAGCATCAAGAAGCCGTAATTTTCTAACACTGGCAAAATCTCGTATATTTATTAATTTTTTTTGTAATTCTTGTATTGATAAATCTATTTTATCAGATGCAAAATGACCAGTTCTTATCATACCAGCAGCACGAGCTGCCAATGAAGCAACAACAGGTTCACGTGAAATAAGTTCTGCTTCAAGAGCTTGATGTTTTTTTTGTAATCTTTGTACAGTCATCAATGAATTACCTAAATCATTACTAGCAGCTAGGGGTTCTTTTTCTGATAACCAATGAAATTCATCCTCAATGTCTCTTAAAAATTGATTAAGTAATTTAGCATCCTCTAAATTATCACGTCTTATTTGAATAGGCTCTTGAAGTCCATGATATTTATTAACACAAGCTTGTGCTCTTTCACTTATTTCATCACACATAAAGTGTTTTGTTTTTTTAAAATTATTAGCAGTTTCTTTAATAGATTCACATGCTTCATTATGACCAAGAACGTCATTTTCTAAATTAGTATGTCTTTTTAATAAATTAGCAACACTTGATAAATCTTTACCGTGATCTTCAGATTGTAATTGTATTTCAATATCATCCATCCATGTTTCAAATTCATCCAATGTACGACCAAATAATAATGCTTGATAAGCATCATTTAAACGATTTTTTTTAAGTTGACTAGTTTCTTGTAAAATTCTCCATTCAGATTCTAAATCCTCTAAACGATCTTGAATTTCTTTACAAGCATAATGATTATTTTCAATTAAATTTTCACCTTCAGTTATAATACCACTTATACGTCCACGATTAGCTATTAATTCACTCTCAAAAGCTAAATGTTTTTGAATTTTACTTTGTAAATTTGTTGAATCACGATAATTTTCATCACCAGCAACTTGTTGTTTTTGATGTAACCAACCTTCAACTTCATAAATATTTCTTAAAAATTTATGCAATTGACGACTTTCTATTAATTTTTTCATTCTTATTGTTGAATTATCTTTTAATTTATCACGTCTTAAACATACAGATATTAATTTTGTTTTAATAATATCAGCGTCAATTGAATTTTTATTAATTATTATTTTATTAGCAAATATTTCTAATTCATCAATACGTCCTAATTGTGATAATAACATTTTTTCAAATTCACTGTGTTTACGTATTAAAGTTTCAACTCCGGATAATGATTCACCTAAATCATCATTATTAAGAAATGCTTCTTTAGTTGTTAACCAACTATCTGCTTGATCAGCTTGTTCTTTAAATTGTTGTAAATGATAGGCTTGCATTAATTTTTCTCTTCTTTCACTCCAAGCGTCAACTAATCCTGAATTAATATTTTTTAAATGTTCAAGACTTTGTTTAACTTGTCGATCAATATTTATTAATTTTTGACCATGATCATCAAGAGCTTTAATCATATCTTTACGACCATCTATTTCAGCTTTTCTTTCCTGATGAAGTTCTAAAAGTGCTTCAGCTTCAGAAATAGTTGTTGGAGCACCAGATTCATTCATACGTTTAATAGTATCTTTAATCCATATTTCAACTTCATGTAAATCACCTTGAAATTTATGTAAAGTATAAGCTTGATTTAAAACATCACGCCTGTGTTTAGTTAAATGTTGTAATTCATCCCAATTAGATTCAAGATTATAAAATATAGAATTTATTTGTTGTGCATTATCTATATATTTAGATGATAATTTAATAGCCTCGGCTTTATGTTCTTTTAATTTACCTTCAATAGCAGTCATATCACGTTCCATAGCTTCTTGTTTACGTTGTAAATGTTCAACAGCAGCTAAATCTTTACCAACATCATTAGTATTCATAGCTAATGATTTTTCAATAACACGTTGACTTGTGTCATCAATATCACGATTAAATAAATGAATTTCTAAAGCACCAGCTAATATTGATCTATAATTAGTTAATGCACCCTGAAGATTTTTCCATTTTTTATTAACATTATCACGTCGCTGTTTTATTCCTTTAGATTCATCATCATGGCCTTGTTTAATAAGTTTATCAGCTAATGAATTTATTGATTTTATTCTAGTATCATCAACTCTCATATCACTATCAACATCATCTAATTTACGTTGTAAACTTAAACAATGTTCATAATCTTTACCAGTATCACCAGCTTGTACCATCATTTCTTTATCACGAATCCATGATTCTATTTTTTCAACTTGATTATTAAATTCAAGTATATCTTGTGCTTCTTCTAAACCTCTACCACGATTACCAGAAACAATTAATAATTTACCCCATGTACCTTGTAATTGTTCCAATTGATTATGAATTTCATTACTAGATGGATGATTTTGTGTTATTAATGTTTCACCTTTATTTTTTATTTCTTCAATTCTACTTTGATTAGCAGCCAATTCAGCTTGAAATGCTTGATGTTTTTGTAATTTTTTTATTTTATCCTCTAAACTCAATACTTGACCTTTAGATGCTTCAGCTTCTAATTTTTTTTGTTTTTCACCAATCCAAGATTCAGCCTCACCAACATCACGAATAAATTGTACATGAAGTAAACTTGCTTCTAATTTATTACGACGTGTATTACACAATTGATGAATTTTACCACGTTTATCAGATACCTCCTGTAAACGTTTAGATATTATTTTTGAATCAAAATGTTTTTGTTGTATAAGTTTATTACCCTGTTCTTTAAGAGATAATAATTTTTCTTCTTGTGTAACAAGTAATTTTTCAAATTCATTATGCTTTTTAACTTGTCCATCTATTTCTTCAACAGAAACACCAAAATTATCACAACTCAATGCAGCCTCTTGTGTTGCTGATAAATTATCCAATTGTTTAGCGTCACGTAAAAAAAAATGTAAATCAATAAGCTGATCAAGATGAATTTTTTTATCCTGCCAAGCAGTATGAAGTTTTTCACGTTCTTCTAATAATTGATTACATTTTTCTTCAACTTCATTAACAGCATAATGGACATTTTTTATCATTGCTTCACCAAGATCAAGAACAGAACTAAAACTATCTTCTCTAGCTTCTATTTCACCTTTTAATGCTTCATGTTCAGCTTTAAAAATTTGAGCACTAGCAGCATCACGTACTTTATCTTCTGTTGACAATCCAGCACGTAATCCAGCTGCCCAATTCATTAAATCACGTAATTGAGTTAAAAATCGTTGTAAATCACAACTAGCTTGTAATTGATCTCGGCGATTTGCTGATTTTTCTTTTAATTCTTCCCAATTGGATAATACTATTTGTTGCTGTTGATCAATGTGAGATGCATTATTACCTGGATATAAACTTTGTAATCTAGATGAATCTTCAACCAATACTTGAAGTTGTGCTTCCAATGCTACTAAATCATTTTCAAATCCTTCATGACGTCTAATAAGTGCCAATACTGAATTTAAATCACGTCCTAAATCTTCTGGAAGAGCTGCTTCTTTTTCTTGAATTCGTGATAAAATTTCAGCAACATCTCGATGAAAACGATGAATTTCACCAGCAGCTTGAAGTCGTTGTTCACGATGACGTATTAATCCCAACAAGTGTTGCCATGATTCCCTAAATAAAATTATAATTATTAATACATTTTTTTAATATTTTAATCATTATCAAATTATATTGTATTGTATAAGGATTAGTTTAGATGACAGGTAAAATTCATAAACAATATACTCATGCAATTATGAGTATTATTATATTATTAATGTAGTAATTATTATCATAAATGTGGAGGATATTAGTATCACACTGCACCAAGTATATACAAACTCACCACATATCTTTATGTTTTCTGCGTACTTGTGCTACAGGATCATCCTCATCACCTCTATACAAAATTTATTAAAGTTAATAGAGTAAAGCCATTACCAATCTACTAGAATAATCTACGTTAATATAAAAACTTATCATATATTAATATCATTCCAAATACAAAAAAAAAAAAAAATTAAAATGCAAACTTTAAAATATCTACAGAGTAAATAAATTAAATAATTTACACTACAGAAGCCATCACCTATTTTATTTTTTAATTATTAAAAAATTAAACAAAAAATAGTTACCCAAGTTGCTCTTGACGTTTTTCTATATCTTGTATATAGGGACTTTCATTACTAATTAATTTTTTAGCTAATTCTTCACACTGATTAAATCTTTCAGAACCAGCTTCAATACGATGTTTAAAATCATTAAATTTAGTTTGTAAAATTAATAAATGCTCATAATCATGCCCATAATCTTCAGAACCAGCAGCTTGTTCTTGTTCTTTAATCCACTGCTCTAATTCACGACTTTCAAGGAAATATTCATGACGATACATACTCTCCATCAGTCTTTGTTGTCTTGTTATTGCTAATCTTTGAAGTGCACGCATTTGCTGTGCAATTGCTTGTTGTTTCGAAGCAATAGCTTTACTGTCTGGATGTTTAGCGTTAACCATTGCCGCTGCTGTGTGACCCATTTCCGTAACTATTCCGTTGTAAGAATCTAATTCAAGTTCTACCGTCTAAAAATATAATAATAATAATAAAATAAATTATGAAACAGTTTTTAGTTTAAAATAATATTCATATTTAAAAAAAAAAAAAAAGAAAAAAAAAAAAAAAAAACAACTTTTTTTATTACTTTATGTTTAGTGAGAAGTTTTGTTGCAGCATCACGATCTCTACCATAATCAGTTGAACTTAAAACATCATTCTTTTCACACAACCAACTTTCAACTTCTCCAGCTTCGAAGAAAAATTCTTGAGCCCTCAATGATAAATCTAATGCACGACTGCGTTCATTAGCTTTTTCTTGTAAGTCTTTCCAAGCATCATCCAATTTTTCACACAGTTCTTGAATCTATTAAATAAAAAAAATAACTCTAATAATATATAAATAGTTATATACTAATTGATAGATTGAAAAACATATAGCTAAGACATGCTTAGAAGCTGAAAAAAATATTTTTTGTTAATTAATTTGTTAAAAATGAAAAAAAAAAAAAAAAACAATAAATTTCACTTTTTCAAATAAATGATAATGTAATTGAAATGAAAAAAAATCGCGATGTCACATCATGCATTTGTAAATTATGTACTTTACCTCTTATGACCCAGGTCAGGTTATTTGACGATGAACCGACTATACAAAAATTCAATATTTTTTTTTTTTTTTTTTTTTTTATTTTTAACCGAAAAATAATTTATTGTACATACATACATATAATTTAATGATAATAATAAAATATAATATAGAAAAAAATAAACAAACCTTTTTTCTTTCTGGATGAGATTGATCAATAAGTCCTTGACCAGTTGCAAGTGCTTTATCAATCATTGGTTGATGACCAATTATTTCAGCCTCTAATTTTTTATGTTTTTTATGGAGTGTTTGAGCTTGATGAAGATTTTGTCCAAGCATAGTTGATGATGCCTGTGGTTGATGATCCTTAATCCAGTGTAATTCAGCGTCAAGTTCAAATCTAAATTTATGAAAACGTAAACTTTCTTCTAGTGCTTCACGTCTTTTTTTAGCTGGTATTTTTAAACTACGAAACTTTAATTGTGTAGCTTGACTACTTTTTAAAATATTTTTAGCATCAAAATGTCCTTCGTGAGCCATTTCTTGACCCATTGCTACTAAATCATCAACTTTAAGTTCCCACTGTGACATATCCGTTTCCAAAATTTGATGTTTTTTTAATAATTCTTTACAACTTCTTAAATCAACGCCAACTTGTTTACTTTGAAGTGATGTTTTTATTTCTTCAAGTTTTAATTTAGCATCTTCCATTGTTTTATTATAACCATGTTGTGATGCTGCTTGACGAAGTCTACGGCCTTTTTCCAATGACAATTCAACCAAACGATTCCATTGATTATTAAGATCTTTTAATGTTTGATTAACATCATTGGAACGATAATTTTGTTCAGATATTAAAACTTTACCAGCTTTATTAACAGCACGTAATTGTCCTTCATTGGCCCGTAATTCACGTTCAAATGCTTCATGCTTTTGAAGTTTACGTTCTAAATTATTTAAATCACGATAACTTTCATCAGCAGCAACTTTCATTTTATCACCAAGCCAATCACGTAAATCATCAACTTCAGCTGAAAATTGTTGATAATATTCAGAAGCTTTTAATTTAGATTGTCTTATTTGTGCAGCATCTTTAACAGCAGCACGTCGTGTTAATACTTGATTACGTTTATCATTAATATAATTTTTATCATAATGATTTTGTTGAATTAAACGATCAGCAGTATCACTAAATGCTTTAAGACGTTCATCTTGAGCATTTAATGTATTTTCAAATTTAATATGTTGTTTTAATAACGCTTCAACGTCATCAAGTGATTCACCAAGATCAATAAATTCAAGAAATGCTTCATGAGAGCTTGTTGTTGCTTCTATTTGATCAGCTTCACGATTAAATAATTGTAAATCAAGACACTGATTAAGCCAATAATCTTTAATATTCCAATTAGATATTAAATTTTTATATAAACCATCAAGTTTATCTAAACGTTCTTTAATATCTGTTAAACCAGAATTACGTTGTAATAATTGTGTACCAAGTTGTTCAACTTCACTAAATTCATCTTTACGTGTTTTTATTTCTTCACCAAGATCAGTGTGTTGTTTTTTTAATTTTTCAGCAGTTTCAACATCTCTTACTGATTCATCAGATTTAATAGCTTGTTTAACATCTAATGCCCAATTAATTAAACTTTTAGAGCTATTAATAAATATTTGTTGACCAACAGCATCTTCTAAACGTGAACGACGTTCTTTAGCTTTTGATTGTACTTTATTCCATAATTGTTTTATTTGATTTTGTCTATCATCAACATTTTTATGTTCATTTGGATATGAACTTTTAACACTATTTGCTAATAAATTAACTTTACGTACTTTTTCTTCAACAGGAGCTAATTCACGTTCTAAATGTTGATGACGACGCTGTAATGCTTGAACTGTTTTTAAATCAGGACCTAATTCAGCAGTATCTAATTGAGTTATTTTTTCATGCATCCAATCGTGTGCTTCATCACAAGTACGATTAAAAAGTTCAACACTAGAAGCACCCTCTAAACTTTTTTCTTTTTGAGCTTTTAACCAATTTAAATGATCCCAAAGTTGATGAATATGCTTTTGACGTGATTTAACTTTATCTAATTTACTGTGACCCTGTTTAACAAATTCATTAACTGATCCATCAATAGCTTCAACGCGTTTACCAGATGCCGAAAGATCGGTTAAAAATTTTTCATATTTTCTTTTAGCAGTTTCAACATTATCACGTGAATCATCAGCTCTTAACATTTTTTCTTTATCTTTAATCCATTTTTCAAAATCATCACATTCACGATAAAAACCATAAAGTCTTATAGCGTCTTCCAATAATGCATGACGTTTAATAGCTAATTTATTTAATTCATCATAAGTATCATTTATTTTTTTTTGCCTTTTTTCAACATTATCACTATCATTAGTTATTACTTTACGTTTTATTGGTTTAACTGCTGATTTAATAGATTTAACACGTCTAACAGGTACTATTTGATTAACCATTTTTGTTTTTTTAACACGCTGTACAATACGTACCTTTTCAGGTCTTCTTACTTGTACTTGAATTATTTTAGGTTCTATTTCACGTACATAATTAGCTGGAACAAAACCATCAGTACCATCTGATTTTCTAATATTCCACCAATCAGGATTTGTTTTATTTAATAAAAACATTATTTCATTTTTAGCCATAGTCATACCTTGACCATTAAATGGATATAAACTTTTAACTTGTGGTACAAGTCTATCTTCAAGTACAGTACGTGTTTCAACACGTTCATGAATTTCATCAACCCATTCATCTTGTGGTATTAATCGTGTTTCTTGTCTCCATTCATCTTGTTCAAGTTCAGCAACTGGCTCTGGATCAGTTGATAATTCTAATGTTGATATACCAGCTTTTATTAATTTATCAGCTTGAATATTTAATGATTGTACATCACCTTTATAAGCATTAAGTTCACCCTGTAAATCTTTATGCCTTTGTAATAATGCTTGCGCACTTGGTTCATCAACACCATAATCTTGTGATGTTACTAGGGCCATTTTTTCATTAATCCATGAATCAGCTTCATTAGCATCTGTATAATATTGAAATGCTTCAGCAGCATCATCTAATTGTTTTTTTCTTAATCCAGCTAATTCTTCAAGTACTTTCCAATGCTCTTGAAGTGATTCAATACGATTTTTTATTTCAATAGCCGATGGATGATTATCATCAATTAATTTAATACCAGCACTACAAAGTTGCTCTGATTTAGGACGTCTAACTTTCATTTCATCTTGTAATGCTTTATGTTTTTGTTGTAATGATATAACAGCACGTAAATCTTTAGCAGATATACCGGCTTTACATATACGTTGTTTTTCAATAAGCCATGATTCTTCATCCTCATGATCTTGTAGAAAATGAAAAAAATTTCTTGCATCCTCCAATCTAACTTTACGTTCTTTACTATTTTCAATTAAATAATTATATGCAGTATTTAATGTTGATAATTTTTTTTCTAATAAAGGTAATTCTTTAGTTAAATTTTTTTGAGATGTTAAATGTTGTCCAGCTTGTCTACCAAGACGTCGTTGTGTTTCACCAAGTGCTGTTACTTGAAGCTCTTGTAAACTATGCTTTTGTAATAAATCTTCAACACCTAATAAATGAGGACCAACATCTGTACTTTGAAAATTTATTTGTAATTCTTGTATACTTGCCAATGTTGTATCTATTTCTCTCATTAAACTCATTAATGATGATAATGCTGTTAAATTTAATTTATGATTATCTAAAAGTGATAATAATTGTTTCCATCTTTCAAGTACCTCCTGTTCACGTATTTTAACTCTCTCCAATCCATGATAATTTTCTCTAACAAGTTCTTCAGACATATTTGTTAAATCATGAAAACGTTCTTCACGTGCTAATATATCAGCACTTATAGCTTCATGTTTTTTAACAGTAGCATCTACTTGAGAAATATTACTACCGTAACGTGGATCTGATAATACTTGTATCATCTCTTTAAGATAACCCTCTCTTAATACACTTTTTTTTTCAAATTTATAATTAAGCTGTTCTAATCTTTCTTGTCGTAATAATTCAGTACGTAATGCTACTTCACGTCTATGCTCAGCACGCTCTAATTCAACCCAATTTCTTTCAATATCTTGAATTAATTGTCCCTCTTGTGGTATAAATGCCGGTTGATTTAATGATTTTAATTGTGTATTTATGTGAAAATATAGTGCTTCTATTTCAGAACGTTCTTTATATTTTGGTGGCTTTTCAATAGTTCTATACTGTTTAAATCCTAATAATTGACGTTGAATACCCTCCAATGAATTTGGAAAATTTCTATTTTCAAGTACTGTTATTTTAAGTTTTATCCATTCTAATAAATTAGCCGTTAATTTTTCATAATGAATTTTCATTTTATCAGCATCCATCATTTGTCCAACAATATTAGCTATTCTTTTACCACTTTTTATTTCATTTTTCATTCGTGCAAATGTATGATAATATGAGGCAACATATGTCATTATTGATTTTTCATCTGGTCTAGCAGTATCTACATCCTCAGCATCAAGAAGTCGTGGAATACCAAGTTCTGTATTTGCCACATCAAATGCATAATTAAGATTATCAATGTGTCGTGTTTGCTGTAATTCTGACCAATTGACCAAATCTGGCCTGTGAGCGTGGATAAGGGCATTAAAACCAAGACCACTTCTCCAAGAACCTATTATATCATAAATACAAATAATATTATTATTATTATCATCATCATCATCATCATCATCATCATCATATTATTATTATTATTATTAATATTTATTACCTGTAAAATCTTGGATATTGACATGTGGATAACCATTTGTTTTTCTTTGACACCAAAGTAACAGAGCATCTTTGGCTGATTTTTTTTCACTGCTTTCATTTTCTTCATCAACATCTATTTCTATTTCTTGAATTTGGAACCTTAGAATAATTGTCCATATCAAACCTAATATTAATCTTGGATTTCCATCAACAATATCTTCTGCTCCAATACTTTCCAATCGTACCTGAAGCAAACAGACCAACAAAATATATATTAAATCGTATTACTAAAATAATATCAAATTAATGTTATCTTCAGAAATTTATTACATTTCTTACAGTATTATATAAGATAGTAGTAAATTTAACAATATTATTTTTATATGTGCGTGTTTGTAACAAGAAACTTCACCCGAGGGTATCTTTTTACCTCTTTGTCAAGCTAGACCTCGTGTCTCTCAAACACGTCAGAATTTATCAGTATACTCATTTATTATATTACGTTTAATATTACTATATGGTAAAATCATGGACTAAACATCTATTGAGTATAAAAATATATTATTTAAAAAAAAAAAAAACTCAATAATTTTATTTCTCACAAACAACTGTCATTTTATAATATTATGTAAATTGTTTTATCAGTTGTTATAAATACAAGTAAAACATCCGACAAGATATTTTATAACTTAATAATTAAATGACAATTGAAAACAGGATTCTCTTGCACTTGAATAATAACTTTTTTTTTTTTTTTTTTTTTTTTAATTCATTTAATCATAAAAGATTATGTGTTATATTATTTTTATACCAATATATTCTAACTGAAATGATGATAGCTAAAGAATAGAGGTGTGCGAACATTCGAATTTATGAAATTAAAAAAAAAAAATTATATATTTATTAAAAAAAAAAAGAGGAAAAAAGTTATCTATGATAATTTTTAATTCAACTGATAAAAATAATTCTATTTAACCATATTCAGACTTGATGATACGACAGTTTTTTTTTTTTTTTTTTTTCCATGCAGTTTAACATTTCATTCTTTTCAACAATAAAACTGTTTACAGTGTCATAAATTGCCGTTACTCATCGATAAATATAGCGATTACGTTTCATTTAAGAGTATCAGTATGTGATGATAAGAAGCTTTTAAAGAAAAAAATAATATAAAAATAACAACTCTGTACTTTGAAACAAGACAACAATTACTATAATTACCCTGAGTTTGATAAATTTTAATCTAACATTCCAATAAATTTTTAATAATGGTTACTGTTATTAATTAGATCAAAATGTAATTTTAGATTTTTAAAAGTTCTCACGTTGAGATATTTCACGAGAAAAAAAAAGTGTAATCAATTACCTCTACTTTACTCGGTATGTCTAGATCTTGCGACCTTCGTAATAACCAACTCGCATCGAGTAAACTACTGACAATCTCTAAACTGCATAGACATAAATATGCAAATAAATTTTTAGTTCGCAAAGGCGTTGTACTTATTGGTATTATAAGTATAGAATACTTTTATTTAATTCTGGGTTGATTAAAAAAATTAATCTACAATATATATAATAATTCATAACATAATATTGTAATATATTTTATAATAAATAGAATTTATTATGTAATTATTCTCACGGGTTTTTCTCGACAATGAGTTTGTACTCGCAGAAAGAAAAAAAATGCATTCATAAGAAAATTAGCACAGTATGTTTGTATTATAATTGAAGGTAGTTTTATTTATAATTATTATTATTGTTATTGTTATTATTATTATTATTATATGGGTTGTACGTTCTCTTTCGATAAATTGTCTTCCTAACCGGTCATTGAGCTACTATTTTATATTTTATATTGAGATTAATTGTTTAATTTTTTTATCAAAAATAATGATAAAAATTAAACTAAATAGAACTATAATGTTTAACAGTTGTATTAAAACATAATATGTATATTACTGGATTGGTAATAAAAAAAGTATACAAGAGTCATCGAACTTTTAGTATAAATATAAAAAATGATCGTAAATTGTATAATAGTAAGCTAAAAAATAAAGACAAGTAAGAATATTGGTATTGTAATTATCAATTCTTGAAATTCGTTATCCAGTCATGCGATGAACGATGAACGATAAACGATAAACGATAAATGATCAACAATCTTTTTCTCTCTCTCATGGAGTAACTCCCGCGACTTGGTACTCACGAGGTAACCCTGTATATAGTACTATTACCGGGACCTGGGGCGTTATTTTTTCAGTATCAGGTATGCGTAGCGGTTCTCCAATGGTATATTACGAGTAGTAGTAGTAGTATTAGTAGTATAGTAGTGTAGTATATTGCTCCTGCTGCTGCTGCTCTTACTCTTGCTGTAGTCTGTAGTCTGTAGTCTGTAGTACTGGCTTGTTGGCTTGCATTCTTGCCAGGCCAGGAAATGTCGATCGATGGAATGTGAATGACACTACTACTTCAAGGATATACACACATTTATTTTTTATTTTTTTATTTTTAAACCATTATTTGGTGTCATTTAAACTTTTCAATGTTCTATTATACATTCTTCTTTTTCTTCTTCTTCTTCTTCTTCTTCTTCTTCTTCTTCTTCTTCTATTTTTTTTCGCTCAAGTATTTCAGTAAAATCTTTTACTAATATATATATTGAATAATAAGTGATTATCTTGTTCGCCGTTATAGGGTCAGTTGATGCTAACAGCAAACAGTAAATTTATCGTTAAATTTTATGACAAGTTTTTCTCGCGTGTCAATATTAATATCTAACCGGTAAGTCGTTTTCACTGTTACACTGATGCGTTGATGCGTCTAGTAACTAGTAATTATTATGCTTTAATAAAATTTTCAAGTATAATATCGAATATGTAATTTTAATAATTCAATTAATCTATTTATTTATTTATTGTTATTAGTTATATAGTATAAAAAATAATAATTATTTAAATGATGGGTGGCAGTAAAATATAATGAGGAAAAAAAAATAAAGAGGTCGATGCTTTCTTTTACTCATTGTCAAGAGTGGTATGAAGTGAAACGTGAGAATTGAATCATCAAGTGCCTTCTCATAAGTGGAATATAACAATAATAACAACAACAACAACAATAATAATAGCTAATAGTCATTATTATTATTATTATTATTATTATTATTATTATTATTATATTATGTAGTGATACTATGTTACAAGTAGAAAATTATAAAGATGATCGATATACATGTTTGATGACTAAGCAGTAATTTTAATCTTTAGAGTTAGAAGATGAAAAAAAATCAATTTAATTGATTAATAAGACATCTTAATTTATGATACAGTCAATCATTCAACTATTTAATTTATTTACTCCAATTTCAGTTAATGTAAAAATAATTGATGATCATGATCACAAAGATTCCGTTACTGTTATTATTATTTTCTTAACTACACATTAAATATTTTAAATATTACACGTATTAGTTTTTTTATCTAATCTCACACTAATTTTATACAAGTGCGTATCCCATTTTTGGAATAAAAACTACTCTTCTGTATAATATTTATTAAGTAATTCTTATATAATTTTAATAAAATAAAAAAGTAACAAACTAAAATTAAATATATGTAATGTAATTAAAAATTGAACAATACAAATAAAGAATTTATATTTGTTACTTAATTCATAACAAATTTCCTAATCTTAAGGAAGTGAGTTTGAAGTAAAGAACATAAAAAAAAAAAAATATCAGAGTTCTTGATTTTCTGATATTACATGTATATTGGTATATATATATATATATATATATATATACACTAACACAATCCAGATGAGTATTTCTAACGGATTGTAAATGGTTTCTTGCTGCATCCTTGCCCATAAACAGTCGTTCGTTTGTTCTGTTATCTCAATAAGAGTTAGGTAGGTATCAAGTAGTCGTTAAATGGTTATGCGTTACTCTTAGTTAAATCTTTTCGATAAAAATTATTGTGTTCTCTTTTTCTTTTTCTTTTTTTTTTTTTCTTTCAATTAAATAATAATTACCTAGTTTTTTAATGACGTTAAACATTTAGTTTGATATTTTGATACGAATTAAAGAATTAAAACAATGGAATGTAGTTTTTCTTTTTAATGTTAATTCAATTTTTAATTAATCTTGTTGTTGTTATTATTATCATGATAATTAAACATTTTATAAATGATTAATCAACTAATCATTGTCAATTATAAATTATCAACACATTATAATATATTTAGGTCATAGTTACTTGAAATATTATTTTAAAAATTCTTATGCTTTTTATCTTTATTGATAATATATTGAATGAATCTTTGTACTCAATAAAACTCATTTTTTAAGATATGAAATATCCCGATTAATGATTAATTTGCGATTCGAAACAGCAATCAACTGTCACCCTCAGTAATAATATAAATAAGAAATAAATCATTATTTATTTACCTAATAAACCGATATATAGTTGTTTTTTTAATAACCACTAAAAATAACTTATGACATTTTTATAAGTTGTAATCATCATCTATGAATAAATATGTATATTTTTTTTAAATAAATCATGATGTATACAACAACAACAACAACAAAATCAATTATATAAACGTGTATATTGCATGATAAGTATTTATACCGTAGTATATAATAACATAATTAACAATTGCATTATCACTAATTTGACATTCCTTTCTAAGGTCTTTTTATTTTAATTTCTAAGTGAAAACAGTTGCTCATCAACAATTATTATACATTGCATTATTTTATTCAAAAAAAAAAAAAAATAAATAAATAAATAAATAAATAAATAAAATAATATAAAAATTTTTGTGTGAAAGTGACTAATTTTGTATAAAAAATTTACAATAAGTAAATGTCAATAACCAATAAGACAGAAATCAAGTATTGGTTTGATTTCATACGGTGACTACTCACGGTCTAGCGAGTTTAGCACGGTCGCTGACCTCTTTATATATTTCTTGATTTTTTTTAATTTTATTTTATTTATTTATTTTTTTTTTTTTCACTATACTAGTGGTCCCTCGTACAATATTTTTTTATCTATATATAACCTCCTTACAATGTGATTAACGAAATTAAAATTTACAAATTGAATCACCCAAAAATAAAATCCCAATGAATTTATCTAAACAAATCTGATAATGAAAAAGACCTTGATAGATCACTTGCTTTCGTCGTTTATAAATTTGCTAATAGGGGAAAAGCGAAAGCTATATTAAATGTTCCATTAACTTGTCAGACATCAAAAAGAAGCTAAAAAATAATATTAAGTTTATTGTAAGAATTTTTTTTATCTTATCGTATAATCAACATGTATTTTGTCATATAATAAAAATTAAAACCTGACAATAATGTCAATTTAACCATAATAAATAAATAAATAAATAAATAAATAAATAAATAAATATAATCGGGACCAGTGGTCAATGCTCTGCGTGTGTATATAATTAACATTTTATATATTCGCACGGTCGAACAGATTTTGTTCTTTATATTGAATTTATTGTAGCGCATCGACAGCGCTTTCAAGTTATTATCCCGACAGTTGGTTGCATATGTACCGTATATGTTTATGATGTGTATACACAAAATCTATAATGTCATATAGCTACCAACCGAGTATAGAGGCCATTCATGATAATAAATTTACACTTGAAGGGTTTCATCCCGTCAACCTCAATCTATATCAATATCAATGTAAATATTCTTCACAGTTGAAAAATAATTTAAAAAGAAAAAAACCGATAAAATATTTTGAAATAATAAATAATACCTGATTATTTTATTTTATTAATCATAATAATAAATCCCTTACCTTAGTGTGAAGAAATGCCAGTGATTTGTTGACGTTTTCAATTTTGTGAACTCGCATACGTCCATTGTTTGGTTTAGCCAACCTTTCTCCGGATATTATTTCCAAAAGTTTTAACAATTTTTTTCCATCCGCAAGATCGGTAAACAAATCCTCTACTTCCATTCTCGCCTATTTTTTATTAAATCAAGTAATTTAAATAATTATTTTTTTAAGTATAAAATATAATAAAATAAATGTACCTTTAATAAAAATGAGTTGATCCATTTTGTAAATGTTTTTTTTTGTATATGTAAACGTTCTTCTTGCAGGGCTTTTATCCTTCCCTGCTCAAACTTGAGCACATCCTCTCTCTGAGTCATTCTTCTTTGTATATTTGGACCGCCTCGGTATTTGTCAATCCGTCTTGGCGGATACTCTCCCAACAGTTGTTGTTGTCTATTCTGACTTGGTTGGAGTCCTGGTGCGGCGCATTCACTAGCGCCGGGCTCATACTGTGCCCCTAAAATAATAAACTCGTTAAAACAACAATCACATTTATATATTTAGTTAATTATTTTTCAAGGTTAAAACTAACACATAATAACCAGAAATATTTATAAATCTTTTTATAATTCTTTTAAAATTAAACTTTAATAATGTATCACGTCAGCAAGTATAACGATTTTTATTAAACTTATCCAAGTATAATTAAATATTAATTAATGTAATAAAAAAATTTGATAAAAAATCAATTGACATATAAAGTTGTTGTGAAATTAATTACAATTGGTTGTTAAGAATAAAAGTTGAAGTCATTAGATAAATTTAATAGCAACAATAATGATAATAATTAACATTACTAATAAGTAATATTACTTTGGTGATGACGGAAAAATTAAGAGTGTAAATCTAACTTTTGTACACGCGTGAAATTTTTGATGCGTAACGGTTAGGTGTAGTCTTGTCAGAAACAACAACAACAACAACAACAACATTGCACCATGTACGCCCATGTCTACATATCCTACTAACAGAGTGATATCGTAATACTGCTCGCTGGTTCAGTTATAATATTGTCGACATTCAATCTTTATTTGTTTTATATGTATGTATATTATAACAATTTAATTCGGGACAATCGAAATACATTTAATTTTAAATAATTCGACACCTTAATAAAAATTACTTATAATAATCATAATCAGTAATTAATATAATTATCAATAAATTTTTTTTTGAATTCCTATTATAATCACTTACTTGAAGTATAATAAAGTTAGAAGTATTTTTTAAAAAATTTGAAATAATTTTTTAAAATAAAAAAATTTTAGGATAAAGCATCCATCATAGATTATATATTATATACTCCAGACTATTTACTCAACTTATTATTTTTAAGATGGTAAATTTAGTAATATGATATACAATAAATTATATATTTACCATACTGATAAGGCATATTCCTTTCTCGCTTAAATATATATTATTGTTTTTGCGTAAAAATTTATGACATTTATTACTTAAAAAATTCACCACTTTATATTATTTATTTTGTTATTTTTAATAGATAACGACAGTGTAAAAAAATAAAAAGAGTAATTATAATGGTAAGAGCTCGACTAAAGGACTTTACGCGACTGATCGATTGATCAAATAGCGCTAGTAAAACCCACTGAAGCTCTTCTCTTATCAACAATTATCACTACAGTGACACGTTTAAACATATATATATATATATAATAATTATCTCTTGGAATTGAAATAAAAATACATTAGTATAGAGTAGATAGCATACAATATATAGTATATAGAGAGTGTGTTAATGCGCTTCGGTCAGGTGTTACACCTACATTAACATATAATGATGATGATGATGATGATGATGATGATGATGATGATGATCACGATGATATGTATCGTATTATTTACTCCAAATACTTGAATGTAATATGCACTATTATTATATTTATATTATACGTTAATATTTTATATTTTAAATGTTAGTTTATCTAACGATTTATCTCGATGTAGTACTGATAGTAGGTATAATCTTATTATAAAAAGTAATAATTATCAAATGACTACTACCTACTTGTTTAATTAACAGTTATTAATAGTTACTATTATAAATTAATAAGTAATGATTGTTTCGAAAAATAAATTACATTTTTTTTTCTTAAAGTATGATCAAGATCTTGAATGAATCACTATACCATTATTTACTTTACTACTAAAAGTAGTGATTATTCAATTGTGTACTTAAATAAAAAAAAACCAATGACGTAATTAGTAGTTATGATGATAATAATAATAATAGTGTACTATTTTTTCTGTATGACATCATAATTTTTATCTTTTTAATTACTAAAAATTGTTGTAAAATTCACTTTCATTTATTATTATGATTTAAAATAGAATGACAGTCATAAATGTTGATGCGCTGATTATACATATACCAATTTAAAAAAATATTATAAACAAATAATTATTAATATCTTTTATAATAAATATTTTATTAAAAGACTGAATAAAATTTTTTTATTAAATAAAAAATATAACATTAGAGGTAAATTTATGATAAAAAAAATGATAAATTTATTAGCAAGTTAATGTCTGTGAAAGTGCGTTGTTGAGAGTTTCTAAAACTTGACATTCTACTACATGACCCTCCGCCATTTCGTGTTTAAATGCACATTATTATATATTTACTTTCAAATTAAACATGTCTGTATTTTTTATACTTTTTGTAATTAATAATAAATTACTTTATATAGAAGCTACTACTGATTCAAAGTTAAATAAATATTCATTTTTTTATACCGTGAGTTGTTTTTAACTCGATTGTTTAGTTAAATAATAAATTTTAGCAAATAATTACGTTATTTATAGAATAAATTATAATACAAATAAATGAATGAGTATAATATTATAATAGTAAATAAAAATTTAAGTATTGAAAATAAAATTTATTATTATTTTCCAATAACGGCTGATATGAATAGTGATATAAAGGTACACAGTGAAAGTGGCATTACCACGGAAAAGATAAAATCTCGCGTACAAAATATTCTCGCTCTCATCGATCAAGTACATCATCATCAACATCATCATCATCATCCGCATTCTTTTTACAACCAGCAATTCAATTATATTATATTATATCTATCTCTATAGCCACTTTCTTAATTTTTAAATTTATTTATTAAAAAATAAAAAATTTTTAAAAACAATTACAAGTAATAATTATTTATTTTATTTCAATTGTCACAGGGTGGAAGAAATTCCTACCTAGTAATATTAGAAAGTAACCAAGTAGTATATGATAGTAAATTATGTGAATTGCAGGACGAGGAAGAAAATCGACAAGTACATTCCGCAAAGTACGCGTTTCATTAACGTTACTGACAATTCTCAACATTCCACATTCCACGAATGAAGAATAGTAACATTAATAACATTAAAAAGATTTAAAAATTTTATTTTTTTCAGTTAATTTTTAATTATCAATATAACTGTAATAAAAATTTATTCATTATTTTTCCTACAACATCTTTGAAGTACCCATACCAAGAATTTAAGACCTTTAAATAATCTGTAACCTAAAACATCAATTCGTGAAGAAAAAAATTTTGTTTTTTCTAGTTTAAATTCTACTACACTAAAATTTCCTTTTCTTTTTTTTTTTTTAACTGTACTATTAGTTGAGTTCTTTTTCTAAAAAGAAAGTTTTAGAAGATAATTTAAAATCCACAATTATATATTTATATTTATTTACATTAAAAAAGTTTTATTTATTTATATTTTTTTTTAATTTTATATTCAAGTTATTTTTTGCACCACGTGTTTATGATAACTACACAAATATTAGAGTTTTTTTTTTTCATTTTATATGTGTAGTTTTTATTATTCATCTTGACTGGAGCGACCTAAACTTGCTTTTGATATATAAGTACCAAATAAAAGAGCAGGATTAAATAAAAAAGCAAAAAATATTAAAGAAAAAGAAAGAACGCGATACGGGCCACACATCGTCGTACGTTGTGACACTGGGTACCCGGTGCGTCGTTTTGTAACTATCTTATCATTGCAATTATTTTATTATTTTTAATTAATTGTTTTTAATGATAATCAGCTAAATCAATGATATAAGGATCAAATCAAAATATATATTAAAATTTTAAATTTTTTCGAAAATATTGTCAGAATTTAAAAATGATATCACATCATTATGTTAGCTTGTTTCGTTGAAAAATCATAAAATTGCTCGAAATTCAGTGGCATGATCTCTTATAACATATACTATAACACCAATTAACTGACCGGTGCGGCTTGCAGTAATTTTTTAATCTGCAAAAATTTTTTAAAGTTTATTTAAAAAATACATCTGTTATTTTTTATTGACTCCAATTGATTAAAAAAAAAAATTCGTTTATGTTTGTCCACGTGCACTTGTTATTTAAAAGTTATTTCAGAGAAAATAAAACAGAGTTTTGTTTCAACAATAAATAATAATTAAAATTTATTAAATAAAATACTCACTTTCCTCAGATTTTGAAAATTATCCAAAAGTACGAAATGTTTTTGTTTCTTTTTTTTTTATTTTACTTTTGTCAGTTCAATAAGTTGTTGACAATTTTAATTAATAGTATTCAACAACTTAAACAACACTCGTAAATAATCACAAAAAATATAAAATTGTCGAAAAAATTAATACACATAGATCTAACTGTGACATACACTTTTTATTAGTAATTTGGTTGATTAGAAAAAAAAAAAAAAAAAAAAAGAAAAAGAAAAAGAAAGTTTATGTAAAATTAAAAAATGAATAAATGCTGAACGTTAGTATAGTTATTAGTTGGTTTGGTAGTAAGAGGATACGAGAGTAAAAGAGGCAAAGACAGGCAAAGAACCAGAGGAACCGGAGACAAGCGGGCCAATCAGTTTCTCCAAACAGTATATACAGCTAGCAGCCAGCAGTATATATGTATAATACAGCAATGCCTGGTGATGCCAGTACAACGGCCAGTAAGAACAACTCAACCAACTATTTAAATTCAAAACACTGGTCAAATGCGCTCAACACAACTATATAACACTGAGAATGGAAACTGAGATGAACGGTCAAGAACCAACAGCAACGTACTCACGTACTCCGTATCCCACACGTCTTACACTTGCTCACACTTCTCACTTCTCACACACTACCTTACTGTACCGTATTAAACTTTATACTCATGCTCCCTCAAGTTCTTCGCGTCCCTCCCGTTTCTGTTTCTCAGGTTTCTCCTATTTCTCTTACTCATACTCATACACACCTATACATCCACTTGTAAAGTGCTAAAGTTATGATGTTTATTTCTAGTGTAACTTGGTAAATTATCTTTTTCCAACACACTTATTCACCCTCTCACCCTCTCAACACACTATTTTACATTTACTCACTTCTCTAGTACATTATTACCTGTCATACATATATGTATATATTATATATAACTTAGTAATACACTCATACAATACATTCAAATATCTCAAATACATATTGTATAAGTAGTACCTATATTTGCTTCAAAATCTGGTTAGGTATAAGTTAGTATTGTTGTGAACCCGAAAAGATTGATCACAACGCTCTCTGTATATTAATATAGAATTACGTATAAAAAGATGGCTGCAATAAATAATAGCGGGAAAAACCCAGTAAGATTTAAATAGTATCAGTAAGAGAAATAAAAGAATCTTTCAAATATCGTAAACCTTTCTATTTTAAATTCTATTGTTAAGTATGGGAATTTTTCTATCATAAATTTTAGGGTATAGACGAATTTATAATTACTGGAAACTCCCAAGGGAAAACATAAAAACTTTTAAGTGCCGTGCAGTTAGTCTATAGACATTCTGAGAAAAATTTCTTTGTTAAAATAAACTTACGTTAATTGTAATGGTCACTTACTCTTTATAATGCTGGGAAAAACCCGGAGATCCTTTTTTTTATTACTCTTTTTATTGCCATAATCCTTTAAGTAACTTATTTTCCAAAACGTTCGGTTAAAAAAGGGATTGCTCGAATACTCAAGACTAGGTCATAAAAACGAGGCATCCATGCGGGTTGCACATAGCCTGGGAATGTCGACTCGCCGTGACGTCATCACGGCATAGTCATAGTCCCATTTTTGCCAACTCGAGAAGGGATGCTGGCTGAGGAGACAGGAGTCGCAAAGGCGCGCGCAACTACCCTCACTACCCTGCTCTGGGACTCTCCCACTCCAAAGATACGAACATCTCAACCAAGGGAGTCAAAAACCAAGTAAAGATACAAGAAGACACTTAACACTTATCAATAAGCAAGACACTTAAGTACGCCACGCGAATATTTTCTTTTTCTTTATTATTGTCGGTACTTTTTATTTTGTAATTTATTGAATAATAAATAATAGATTTGCGCGCAAGGCAAATCTAAATTAAACTAAAATAATCCGAGTATTTTAAATTTATTATATTGTATATTATTTAATTCAACTTATTCGAATTTAAATCTACTCTCCCGCCTTAATCTATTTACTGCGAGTTGAACTAGTTGAACGCCCTACCGCGTTCCAACGGGCGAATTAAAAGAACTCAATAAATTTACTATATCCAATTTTGGGCTATACAACAGTATACATCTTATTATATGATAGTGATTATTATTATTATTATTTTTTATGATTAAGCAGTTTTAGTAGAACAACACCCTCTAACAGATTTAGCGAATTTAGCGATTATTAACTAGACATTATTTTAATTATTTTACTTTAGAATAAAGACTTACTGCCATCTGTATGATAATTTTGTTACTGTTATTTATAAATTACACTACTCAAGCCCAATCTCAACGATTCCAATGAAACAATGAAACCGCAATGAAATTTAGATCATCATAAATACAACCACGTGTTTTCATACCTCAATTAATAATATAATAGTATATAATAGTATTAATATTGTATCCTACAAAATTATACAAAGTTAATTAAAAAAAATAAAATAAAATGAAAAAAAGTGACATTATAGCTCGAGTTCTGTCGACAATAGATGCAAATACTGAGAAACCGGAAAAATTCTTAGGGTATGTTACTGTGCATTTTTTTATGATTATAAAATATTATTTATTAACAATAAAAAATTAGTTTAAGTTATCAATGTTAAAGAAATAATAAAAGTTTATTATAGGGTTCAAGATGATGTCGAGTTGGAATTACGAAAAAATCTTAAAATTTTGTATGATTTTACGAGAGAAAAAACAATTGAGCATACAATTATAAATAATTCAAACAATTGTGATTACACATTGCCCAAACTCGTAATCGAAGATGTTGATCAAGAAAATATTTGGCAACAATTGGAATTACAAAACGAATCAGTTATTCAAAATTTAATCGTAGAAATTTGTAATATAACAGCGAAAAATAATTTATTAAAATTATCAGGTACGAAGCAAAGAAATAACGTTAATGACGATGATGAACATGATAATAATAAAGAGGAAAACATTTCTCATTGTGATGAAAACCCTTCTGACGATAATGAACCACTGGATTCAAACAATCAAATTGAAATTAAATTACCAAATAATGAAAAAACAAAAACATCTAAACGAAAACGCGTAAAAAATAAACCATCTATTGTTGATGATAAGTTTTTTAAATTAAGTGAGCTGGATAAATTTCTTAATCATGAAGATAAAAAAGAATTTACTAAAAAATCAGATTCAAATTCAGATCATGACTCTGATGAAGAATTTATTGATTTATTTAACAATTATCCTAGTGAAGATGAGGATGATGATGATGATGATGCCAAGGATATCAAGTATGCAGATTTTTTCGACAGTCCAGAAAGCGAAGATGATGATAATGATAGTACTCAAAATAAAATAACCTCGAATGATGGTAATGACTCTGACAATAGTAATGACAGTATTGATGATTGTAATGAAGATGTTGAATATCAAATTAATAACGATGAAAATCATTTTAAAAGTGAAAAAAGAAAAATAACTAAAAAAGTTGATGGTAAAAATAAACGTGTCAAATTTAGCATGGATGCAAATACTGATGATGATGATGATGATGATGATGGTGGTGATGGTGATAATAATTCACGTATGACAGACGAAGATATGGAAACAGATATAAAATCATCACTTGATTTACGTACTGAAAGAGCTGAGAAAAAAATAGCTAAACTCGAAACAGAAAATATCAAAGAAAAAACATGGTCGTTAAAGGGTGAAACAAAAGGCGACGATCGCCCAACTGATGCGTTACTTGAGGATTATCTTGATTATGATGTTGGATCAAGACCAGCTCCGGTAATGACAGAAACAACAAATTTTAAGCTAGAAGACATAATAAAACAGCGAATTAAAGATAACGCTTGGGATGACGTTCAGAGAAAAATAAAACCGGTTGAAACTCCAACCGAGTATAAGAAAAAATTGGTTATGGATCAAGAAAAGAGTAAAAAAAGTTTAGCTGAGATTTATGAAGATTCTTATTTAAAACAAAAGCAATCAATTGCTCCTGATAATTCAGAGCATCAGGATGATGAATACATAAAATTCGGTGACGAATTAATAAAATTAGATGTTATTCGTGAGGATTTAAAGTGCTTGTTTCGACAATTGGACGCTTTATCAAACAATCACTGCACTCCAAAACAGGTAATTTATTAATTTATTATCATACTTCAATTTTTCTTTTTTTAATATCATACTATTTTATTTAACAGGCTCAACCAGATCTTAAAATTATCAGCAATGTACCTGCCATAAATATGGAAGAAGTAGCTCCAGTAGCAACTGCTGATGCAACTCTTTTGGCCCCTGAAGAAGTTCAAGGTATATTTTCACGTCTATCAACTCAATGTTACTTTTATCAAATTTATTTATTTCATTTCATTTGAAAATATTTCTATATGTTTTTTTTTTTATTTTTTTCAGCGAAAAATCGTGGGGATCCGAAAGGAAAATCTGAGCTAACTACAGCTGATCAAAATAGAAACAGAAAGCTGAAAAAGAAAGCTCAAAAATTGAGGCGAATAAATATGGAAGCAAAAGAAAAAAAATTAATTCAAAATAATAAAAAAAGCAAATCAGTTGATAACTTGCTGATTAAAAAGCTGACTGCTGATCGCAATATTAAAATAATGAAATGAATTTATACTTGAATAAAAAAAAATTTATTTCAAAAGTCTTGTTTCTCGTATGACGTTTTTTTTTTTTTTCCATAACTTGAATTTATATAATTGTAAATAGTAAAAAAAATGGAGTTATTGAGAGTATATTACTGGTGATATATTATAAAAAATTGTTGATGATCTTGATGAAATAAAAGCTTTTTGACATTATTCCAAAATAATACAATTAAGGATAGTGTGACTAAAGGTATCGTGGAAATAATACTGCAAGATGACTTGGAAAAAAAGTACAACTCATATTCATAACCCGTACATTGGTGAAAAAATTTTTTTTCTTTTTAATTTAATTTCTTTTTTTTGTTTTTTTCATTTTTCTTTTCTTTTACTACTATGATATGCTAGTTCGTTTTTTTTTTTTTATATCATCCGAAAAATTGCTAAACATGTACAAATGCAACAAATCACGCGTGATCACTTATTCGTTAATTTGTTATAGGCGGTAACATTATCTATACTTAGTTTTTTAAATGTTTTTTTTTTCTTTTTGTTGTCAATATTATTTTTGATTCTTAATTAATAATACCTAAAAATTTTGTTACACAGACAAGCAAAATGAGTTATGTAATTTTGTACATTTCTGTTATTTAAACAATTTTTTTTTAGGTATTTGTCATAGATGATTGCACTGTTTAAATTACAAATATCTAATTAAAAATAATCATAATTATTATTATTATTATTATTGTAGTAATAATTATTTTAAGCTAGTCATATTTTGCTATTTTTAAGCTTTAATTTAAATTATTATGATTACATAGAGACCAGGCGTTGAGATTTTTTTTTTTTTTATTAAATTAAAACTTAAAAATTATGATTCTAATATCAATACTCTAGAAAACGATAATAATATTAATTAACCACTATATTCTTTTATTTTGAAATGGAATATTTTTTGATGCAATACCTTTTAAAATAATTTTTACATTACAAATTATTTTTTTTACTTAATTAAAAGTAATAATAAAAATAATATCATTGTACGATAAAGTTTTTATTTTCTTGAGTCAGAATAAATTTAAAAAAAAAAAAAAAAAAAAAAAAAAAACTCTGTTTATTTTATTTCATTTTTTGTGTCATTATATACTCGATTTATATTCTATAATAAATTGGAATGAAAATGTGCGTGTCTTAAAGTCAACTTATGATTTTTTGATTTTATTTGTTTATTATTTTCATCTAAACGGTCGTACGATTTAATCAATGCATAATATAACTTTTTAAAAGCTACTTACAGACCTTTTGGTGTGACAGATACGGGAGTATTAATTAATTAAGTGATTCTAGAGAGTATCTCTCCCGGTGAAAAAAATAAAAATACAATAAATTAAGTAAAGTTTTTGAATTCAATACTTAAAAATACTCGACAGGACAAAGCCACGAAATTTAAATATCATTAATAATTATTGATAATTGGTAGAGTTTTTAATTATCGCTACTCAAAATTCGTGTTAAACATATTTAGTTCTTCAAATCCAGACGCTCCACCTTGCTCTTGAAGCATTTGTAACATATCAGAGAGCTCCTGTGGTTGATGAGGTTGGTGAGGTTGGTGAGGCTGGTGCGGCTGATGAGGTTGGTGAGGTTGGTGTGGTCCAGGACCAACTTGAGGACCATGTGAGGATTGAGGTTGACCTGTCACTTGTGGATTAGATTGTCCAGCATCTTGTTGTTGCGCTTGATGCTGTTGGGCTTGCCAAGCCCACATACCTGGTTAAAATAAATAATAATATCAATAGTACTTGTGATATATAATAATAATAATAATAATAATAATAATAATTATTATTATTATTATTATTATAAAGAGTTTTTAAAAAAAATAAATTTACTTGGATTATTAGGCACTGTCGTAACTGAATGGTATTGTGAGGCGGGTGTTCTAGCGCCACTACTTAATTGTGTATAAGTCGGTCCACTTGGCGATCTAGACGGACTCAATTGACTGTATTGATATCCCTCTGTTACTGGCTGCTGTTATTTTAAAATAAATAAATGAAGAGATACTAATAATAATAATTTTTGTTAATTAATATAATTAATATAATTACTTGTCGACCAATATTCCATGGTTGTTGTATTGGCGATGGTGATGTATTAGCAGGTTTTTGCATTCGATTTAATACTGATGAAGAATTCTGTTGATTAGGTGAATTATATGTTATTGGTGAATGAGTTGTTTCATATCCTTGATAAACTTGATTTTGATTGCTGGCTGGTCTAGGCTGTTGTGGCGGTCCTGAAGCAATAGCTGCAACAGCTACTGGATGTTGTTGTTGCATCATATGATGAGTAGGGTACATTGGTTCTCTAGAGTGATGTCGTTGCAATGAATAATCCAAACTATGATGACCATAAGGAGTTACCGGTTCACTTTCTGGTGGTGCAGGGGCTGGTGCTGTTGCTGCTACTTGCGTATCATTAGCAGGATGAAGTGATCTGTAGATTATTAAATTATCATCACCATTGGTATTATTATTACTACTTGAAATTATTTTTCTATTACTTACTTAGCAGTTGTATTTGTGCAGACGATATACTCAACTTCTTGTGAGCAAGGATTTAAAAATGCAAAAGCAGATGTTCTCAACCATACCCAGTCTCGATTTTTAGCACGAAACCGATATACAGCAGATATTACTTGTCCTTTGAGTTTTAAAACTATGAAATAAAAAATAATATAATATGATGATGATGATGATTATTATTATTATTATTATATTTATAAATTTATTATTTAATGTAATATAAAAGTACCTTGATCAAAACTTTCTCGCATATGTGGTAAATCTTCTTGATGAAAAAATTCATAACATTGATGGCCTAAAAGATCTGTCGGTACGTATCCTAATATATTACCAACCCTTTGATCAACAAACGTAAATTTACCTTCTGCAGAATGCCGTGAAATAAATTCTATTGAAATAATATAAAAATTAATTATTTTATAAAAATAAATTTATTCAATATATATTATTAATTATTAATTATTACCATTATTGCTATTACCACCAGTCAAATCACTTGTATTTGGGGTACTAGTAACTTGTAATCGTCCAATAGCGACCAGACAGCAATGTGAGGTAACATCTTCTGAAACAACACCATCCGCGCTAGCTTGAACACCTCTGTCACCTAAACCCACACCTGGTACACACGGGGGAACAAAATCACCTACAGTGTAGAATAATATATTAACCACCGTTCCCTGCTGGCTTTTATATATCTATTTTTTTTTTTTTTTTTTTCAAAAGTTATTTTTCATTTTAATATTATTACTTTTTACTATTACTGAGTACAATATTAACTTGTACGCAAATAATTACTCAATAAACAACTAATACAAGTATCTATAAAAGATGATATATAATGTAAAAAATAAAATAATAAAAATAATAAAAGTTTTTAATAAAATGCCGATAGGAACAATGGAATAATATGGTCGAAAGACCCTTACGAAACTCACCAGTGGGGGGCCAATTTTTGATGTACCCCGTGCAGTGAACAACGGCGTAACTTTGTCCATCTCTCGCCGGTGGTCCCAGTGAATTTCTCTGTTTCAAACGATGTAAACCCTGTGCAGCAGCCATATCGCCCGAGGTCTGAAGATTACCAACCTTCATACGACATATAAAGCCTCTTCTCGATCCCATACTCAGTCTCACAGAAGCTATATAAAATAAAATAAATTAAAATAATGCATAAACAATTAATGAAATAAATAAATTATACGTACATTGATGTCCTTCTTTTTTAACAGTTCCAGTTTTAAGATCAAGTATCCTACCGGCATGTTGAGGTTCTGAAGCACTCAATTGTTCACGAACCTTTTCCGTATCATCCGGATGTACTTGAGAGTATAAACTTGAACCGTACCATTCACTTTGGGAATAATTTAAAACTGGTGCAACAGAGTCTGATACATAAATTATTCGGCCAGTATCACAGCTTACTACGAAAAGAAAACCATCCGCAGCTTCCAATATTAAATGCTTCAATTCTTGATCCGTAAGAAATGAAGGTTTATAAGTTCCATCAGCACTGGTATTACCTGTACCTGTTGGCAAAAAAATAATTTTATTTTAATTATATATATATATACGATGTATTAACAACATATACAAAACTTATATAAGTAAAATATCTAAGTGCAAGATCAGAATTGGTAAGCGGACAGGATCCTGGGAGGCAGCAAAAGCGCAACCGATATGTGATCTTGACTCTGATATACAACAAATTCCAGGAAAAAGAACTTTAACGACTTCGAAACAAGATCTATGGAAGTAAGGGTTCTGATCGTGACCTTCGTTACCATCACACTTTATACACATTATTTTTTTTATCCCAATCATTACCACATATATCTATAAATGATTTAATTTTTTTTTTTTATTTACTTTTTATATTTATTCATTACAATTATAAGAAAAAAAGTAAATTAATGAATAAATAAAAAATAAAATATGCTTATTTTATTTGTTTTCGCAATCGTCAATCCTAAACTCTCTCCCTGAAGTAATTGTAAAACGTGTGTGTTAGGATACATATAAAATGTGTGTGGTGGTTATCCCTCTTGGAAACCATCAGGTAAAGAGTTATAAAGAGTAAGAGAGAGCTCTTCTCTTGGGGCAATTTGTATTCAGTAGCACAGTTGTCGGGAAAAAGGAGAAGTGGTTATAAACAATGCGACGCTTCACCGATACGCGTAGCAATCTACTCGCTACCTGCTACCAGTTACAAGCTTTTACACACACTATTCTTCAGATGTATAATTGTTCATGTATATATATACGTGGTTACGCATGTTCAACCAAAGAAGACAACCGGTAACTCCACCCATTCCATCACCGGAAGTATATATATTGTGTCTTTTGCATTCGATATTCATATACTCTCACACCCACTGTTATTTTTTATAAGTAAATTAGTGCCTTACGGTGTGATTCTGCTTTCTTTTTTTTTTTTTTTTTTTTTTTTATTATTATTATTATTCAACTAAAATTTAATTTAAAAAGTAATTTTTTTTTTTTTTTTTTTTTTTTTTTTTTAAATTAACATAATTGAGTGAATCGTCAAGTTCGAATTGGTATTTGTCTCCTCTTATAATATATACTGATTTCAGTGAGTGAACGGGCTACGTGCCAAATCGCAAAACCAATGGGGATAACTTATCGCTTGTGAAAGATTATTGTCGACTAAATTTCAACTTTGAATATAATTGATATTTCAAGCAGGAAGTTAAATATTTTTATTCTGAAATGTAAATATTTGATTAAAAAGTATATATGTATATGAAAAGATATTTCTTGCATGGATAAAATTAAAAGATAAAATAATTATTTAGACTGTTAAAATTTATTAAATATAAAAAGAATAATTTACCTCTGAGAGCTTTCATGTGAGCAACTGCCATCCTTAATATTGTTAATTTGTCTGGTTTCCGTGCTAAAGTTGAGCATGTTGGAACCATATCGGAAAGTTCAGTAATGTATGCTGTCATCTTATTCCTTCTTCGACGCTCAATCTCACAGTGATTTTCTCGGCTGTTGAAATAAAATTTAAATTATTATTATTATTTTTATATTAGAGTAAAGAACATAAGTAGTTGGAAAATCTCTCTGTCACATTATCTCTATCATAAAATTTGTTCCGACCTTTATACCTTACCTATCTCAAGGGTTTTGTATTGAAGGAGCAACCTGTTGGTTCACTCCAAATAAATAGTATATAATAGATATAATTGATTTTTTTTTTTTTTTTTTTTTTGATAATATTTCATTTTTAATATACTCAAGTATAAACTTTATAATAGTACTATATATGAATAAATAATAAATAAATAAATAAATAAAGAAAGAAAGAAAGAAAGAAAGAATAAGTGAGAGGACTCTTTTGAGGTGAGAGGTCAGCCGTTCTATGGTATACGGTATATACGGTATACTGTGTACAATATACGGTATATCAAGCTTTGCTTATTCGCGTACTTCAAGCTCATCGAGTATATCTAACTTTAGTATAAATACCTTTGCATCTTTAATATTACATATCTGTTTTAGGTACTTAGTATTTATCTAAAAACTACCTATATATTTATATTTAAAGTTTAATTTTTTATTCTATTTATTTACCAGTCACTACATATATCAACTACTAAGTCAATTTAAATTTTATTAATAATAATATTATTATATATGATAATGTGATAAAAATATAAAAATAAAAATGTATAGTGAGGAAAACTGATTGCATTTGAACTGGTCGGTTAACCACTGGAATGCGTAAAGAAGAGTTGCTATTCACAACAAAATATCATTAAATATATCATTATTCCTGCTGTTGGATTACTCTCTATGTCTTTATTAATTATAAAAACTAAAACATCCAGATGAATCTTAATTTTTTTTTCTAATTTAATATTATAAAAAAAAAAAAAAAAAAAATCATAAAGAAAGAGACAGAAAGTATAATGTATAATATATAATTTATAAGAGGGTGGACCAAATTGAATAAGGTGAGTGGAAAAATAATAATAAATAATAATAACAATAATAATAATAATATAAAGATAGAGTAGAAATGACCAGACCGCACAGTCCGTACAGTATAGACTACTCGCGGCAAGATAAGATGCTCAGTAATAGCGTTATTAACTTAAAAGTGATGCTTTTGCTTGCTCACTCGTTCATTCGCTCACTCGCGACATTATATCATACTACACCTTTATGGTATTATAATATTATTATATCCAGTATTCATGGTGCAACTTTGACCATACAATTCTTATTATTTCTATTATTTTATAATTTTATAATTTTATAATTTTACACCAATCTCTTACTGACGTAAATTATTATACTCTTAAGTAATATTTTTTTTTTATAACTCTAAAAATTGTATAATATTTTATTTAAATTATTGAAAAGAAATTACGGGGACAAAACGACTACGCGAATTAACCATGTGCTATGTGAATAATAGATATGTCGACAGTCGACGGTCGAATGTCGAATGTCGAGAGCGTATCTCATGTTCCCACGGCAAACTCAGAGATCCGCCAAGGGCTTTTCATTCCTCTATACATATTATATCGACTTTACATTGCCTGATGGTATGGGCAAATCATCTATATAAATCCTCAACATATATATATATAATACTACTCATCTACATAAAATTATTATTATCTCTATTGGTACAATTATAAAGTTATATTGTAAACGGCAATTGCTCCTCATTAATATCAATTTAACTCAATCAATTATCAACAAGCTATTATTATTATTATTTTTATCTATCACTCCTTATATTTGTTATATTAATAGTAGTACGTATATAAGTAACTATAAATTATTATATTTACCTAGCAAATCTTTCCTTGTCCTGCAAATTGTCGTCTTCCATTCTTCGGTATTTTCCTCCACTAGGATCATCTTCGTCAGATCTGAAACAAATAATTTATTTTTATTTTTATTTTTAATTTTATTATTAATACATATATTTAAATTTTTAACAAGGAAAAAAAAATTAAAATACGATTAATTATTTTTTATCCAATCATTTATTTTTTTTTTTTTTTAATTACATTAAATTATTATTATTTAATTACATAGGTGTTAATACTATAAGTAGTTTATTATTTATTTGAGTATGTATCTTGTAATGTACATACGAATTAAAATAATAAATAAAAAAAAAATAGTATATAAAGATTAAGGCTTGTTCTTCGTCCACTAAAGATCCCGTTGATCGGCACATAGTTGTACAGAATAACAAGCCTCATCAATTGGATCGACGGTTGTAAATCCATCAGCGATCCTCATTACCGCTGAAACATTTCAACCACGATCAAAAAGAAAAAAAAAGAAAAAAAAATAAGTAAGTAAAGTATCCTACTACTCGTTCATCTTCAACACCACTATACAAAAATCTGGTAATAAAAAAAAAAATGATAATAATAATAAAAATATATAATAAATAAATAAAGAAAGAAAATGAATAAAAGAGTATGGAAAGAGAAAATAAGAGAAGAGAAAGATGGAGAAGTGATGCACGGTTTTGACCCTGAAGAAGCAAAAGAACTAAAATATCCTACAGTACTATCCCTACTATCTCTTTTCACTGTCGAGTCGTTGCATCCTTTTCCTTGGGGTACCCGTGACCCCCCGCTACCCTTTTGTGAGGGTGTAGAGCTGAGAGCACATCCGGGTAAGTCTCTTGTCTATACACTAGAAGTCTTTCTCAATACTCTTTTCTCATTGTCTTTATTTTTTAAATTCCCTTTTTATTTATAAATCTTTGCTCTGATATAAATATATTCAACTTTATTATTTTTTTATTGTTATTTAAAGTTAAAAGTTATTTTTCTTCCTCTTCTCCTGCTTCTTTCATCTTTTTAAGTAAAACGAACTAGTTCTTCCGGCGATGACATCTGTACATCCTTTTCTTGAAACATCTCTAAAAAATTTATTCAATCTCTTTGTTGTATCTTCATGGGTTGTCTTGAAGGGTCACTTTTTCTCTCTTTCTTTTCTTCTTATTTTGCTTCTTATTTCAATTTCTTGAATCGCGTCTTTGCATCTTATTTACCCGAATATATTAACATTGAATGCTTTATAATCGTCGTCAGTGGTCAAAAACAACTTTGACCTTAAATATATTCTTTTTTTCGTCCTAACTTATGTTAAGATTATTGTAATTCGGAGCTACTTTTTTTTTTTTTCTTTCCTTATTATATGTATTCCTGTGGAAAAATTAAGAAAATATATAAATTTAACCAAAAGTAACAAAAAAAAAAAAAAAAAAAAAAAAAATTGAAGAATAAGCACATAATCTTATAATGAGATCCAAAATATAATACAATTTATATGCTTATTGTATTCTTTTGTGAATATATGTATTTAATTCATTATTATGATAATTTTAAATTTTCACTTTTAAATAAAAATTTAAAATAATAATAAATTCCCTAAAATTGTCCCAACGAACTGAACGGGTAGAATGATGAAAATAAAAAATTTAAAATTCAACATTCGTCGTAAAGATAATTTTATTTATTTTTTTATTTATTTTATTTTATACTTATTTATTTTTATTTTATAGCTTTATAGTCGATGGATAGAGGTATTGCATATTAAAAAGATAGTCTGGCAATGGCTGTGGATACCCCGTTAACTTTATAAGAGTCAAACAGTTCGCCACTTGAGAAGTAAAGGGGCGGTCCGTGCATGACTCTAAGTAGACTCTACATGCTTTCTTACTATACCATATACACCATATATACCATCATCATATACCTCTTATCCGTTCTCCAGCTACGTCATTGGTCACTAAACAGATTTATATCTATTTCTAATCAACTAATTATATTATGTGATATGTATATATTGTACATAATGCTGTTTATAAAGCTACTCACGCGACACGATAGTTGCCCATAAAGTTTCATAATCAAATATGAACGTATGTTATGTACAGTAAATGTAAATTATTTGGTTTTACATTAAAGCTTTACATAGTAAACTTAAGTCTGATATACATTCCTATTTGATTATGAAACTTTATGGGCAACTATCGTGTCGCGTGAGTAGCTTTATAAACAGCATTATGTACAATATATACATATCACATAATATGTTGTCAAAAACTTTAATAAACAGAGTTAATATATTTAAGAATTAAGAAAAAAATAAAAAAATAACTAATATATTTACATAGAACAATTGTTTTGTAACGATAATAATCAAAATTTGTCTTTCAGGTAATCCATGAAATTTATTGATAACCGCAAATCTCTACTACGTGACATGTTGTACAACTAATGGGTTTTACATTTGTCATTAATATAACACACATTGATAAATTCCCACGTGATGTATACACAAGAGAAATTACGAAAATCTCTCTGTAAACAACTTTTTTTATTTCTCTATTATATATATATATATATATATATGTTTTATATCCAAACAAAATTTTTATGTACTTTATGTACTTAATAACAATGTATTTAAAAACCATAACAATTTATGTATATTAGTAGTTTATAATATATATATCACAAGTTGCAATCGAGTACATATTGTTATGGCTGTTAAATTTTGTTTTAAAACATTTTTACAAACATCGGTATTGAATCGTATGTAAACTTGATAAATTGTTACATGTTAAACACATATCTCTATCGTTGTTATTATCATTATTATTATCATTAATAGACATACAGATAAACGAATTCATATTCAATCAAAAATTTTATAATAATAACAATTGGTTGATTCTCAAGATAGATGGAAAAAAAAAAAAATAAAAATGTAACATAACTTGCATATGTAGATAACATGAATATACAAATATTTTATTCGTTATTATAATTTCAATGTCAACTTGTAGATAAAAAAGGTATTTACAAATTTTAATATGTACGTTTGATACTGATTAGTATATTATCTTAAAAAAAAAAAAAAAAAAAGAAAAAATAATCATAATAATAATAATTTTTAGTTTTCGATAAAATAATCATCTTTAAAAGTTAAAACCAAATAACCGAATATGACAATTAGTAAATTTAAAAACTGTAAATAAATTGTTTATTTCATGTTGTATATTGAGATTCACCAAGTGTTTTAATTTTAATAATATTGAGATTATATATAACATAAATGTAATAAACGGAATATAAAATAAAAAAAATAAGATCGTTTTATAAATAAATGATAAATAATAAATAATGATATGTGTTGACATTAAATATAAAACATTAGGTTTAAATTCATCAAGAATTTACCTCCGTCTTTTCGACTGCGACGAGTCATTTTGCGGCTGTTGTACGTGATGCGGTGATAAGTTTTGACCGTAAGACAGTAGCTGACTTCCGGGAGGAGGCCCACCAGCTCCAAGTGGTAGACCCCCAACTAGTGGGGGTGCCGTTCCCAATTGGTAAGCTATGTGACTTGATGCTTGGGGAACGTAATGTGAAGGACCGGGTCCGAGGCCTACTCCATACTCCGTGCCACCCGTTCCACCACCGTACATGTCACTTGGATACTCTATCTTGATGGCTTATTAAAATTATATTATATATATTTATATACATAATCCATATAAATATCAATACACATATATTTAGTTATTTATTTACTAATATTCGACAGCACTTTATTTTCACACTACTTGTCTAAAATCTTTTCTTTTAAACACTTTTTTGTTTAATTATATTTACAATACACTTTATTTTATCGTTTTATTTATTTATTTTTTTTTTTCCCCAATGCCCGATGAAACTATAAAATTAATTAAATTGGATTTAAAAAAAGACAAAAAGAAAAAAAGTCTTTATCAAGCTCCAATTTTTAAGTTTCTCAATACAACAGAGCATAACACTTTCTTCTATAATACAAAAAATGTTTACTAACCAGGTTATTTTCGTAATAAAATAAAACACGTGTCACAAAATTATTATTTTACAAACTGATAATATTATTGACTAAATATTACAGTCTTTAACCTCGTGAACAATATATTTATAGTATATATGTATAAATTTTTTTTTTTTCACTTGCATTACTGTGTAGAGCGAACATTCATATATCACTATCAATTGATGGCATCTTTATAAGCACAATTATTAATATAAACAATTGCATAACTTTTTTCATACCTAATAAATGATTTCAAAGAGTGAATTAATAAAAAGTTTTTATAAAAGTATATAAAATTTAAATTTGTGTTAATATTTATGTATATTTTTTTTTTTTAAACCAGGTCTGTTAGGTTTTATTTATTCATATTATTATGTAAAAACCGCATGTTGGATTAACCATTGAACATAATAGAAATAATAATAATAATAATAACAACATAAATAATAATAAAAACAACACAAGTTAATTAAAAATTGCACATAGTATCAACACCACGATAATTATATAAATTTTAATTGAAAGATATACTATTAAAAATAAAATAATAAAAATAAAAACAACCGATAGCTGTGACTCGTCACCACCCACGTTCTACCAGTGTCTACCAGTGACTGATTCCACCATAGTGGCATAATGTACCGCGGTTAGGTTGTTCTGTCCTGCCGAGGGGGAACTATTACTTCCCCCACTACAAAATCATCATCCACTCTGTGATATACCTATGACTTTCAACCTTAATAATATTACTTATTATTTATTATATATACTCTATTTTAAAATTATTTAAGTATAAATTAAAACATTTACTTTTCTGATCTCCAATGTTTATGTTATTTCATAAATTATACAATTTATCTTCAAACAACATATTTCTTCATGTTCACAATTCAAAATTGTGAAAAAATTTTTTTTATTTCACATTAAAACTTTAAAAACTTTAAAAGATAATTGTATACTATTAAATTATATTTTGTTAAAAAAATAAAATAGTTACTAATTGAAGATGTGAAAGTCACAAGCCAGGTTAAATTAATTTCCTTCAGATGATTTTTCTAATATTAACTTTGTTTTCGTTTAAGAAAAAAATTAAATAGATACATATGTTATAATATTTGTATATTATTATTATTATTATTATTATTATTATTATTATTATTATTTAAAAATTATAAAAATATAAACAGTAAAAAAATAATTTTATCGATATTTATTGTTTAAAAATGTAAAGTAATGATTAAACTTACCCCATACTGCTAGCAACTCGTTTTTGAGCCATTTTAGTGGGTTCAGACCCTATATGAACATAATGATAAGTATGAATGAGTATGCATATAATTTACATATTAATGTTTAATGATAGTATATTATTAATTATGTTACTATTAACGCTCTAATAAAAGTTGAATAAAAATTTTAGTCTCAATTACAATTACATACAACCTACATAATATAATAATAATTAAATTAAAAAAACTTTAAACAGAAGAAAATAAAATGTAACAAATATTTAATTAAAAATTCAAGTTAGATAACAATTGTAATAATAAATTTTATTACAAGTTAAATTATAAAAAAATGATTGTAATATTAATATTAATGATGTAAAAATTTTGTTGGTACACGAGTAGTGTAACTTGATTTACCTGTCAATGAATGAGCGATCGACATTTCGATTGTAAACATTCAGATAACAATTATCCGCTTCCCACCTCAAAAACTTTTCAATCATATAGCTTTATTGTTTAATATTGTTATTATTATTATTACTATTAAATTTATTTAATAATCACTTGACATATATAAAAATTGGGTGTTTACACTTAATAGTTGCGCCATTTTGAAGTTTTATCCTGGGTTTTATTTTTACTCCATACTCCAAGCGCACACGGCTTACATATATACATATATACATACTAATGTAAGTGTAAAAGTATATAGGTAGATGCTGGAGTTCAGGAGAATACTCAACCAACTAACTATCTCAGCTCATATTCTCTCTCTCTCTCTCTCTGCTCTACATTTTTTTTCATTATTATTTTTTTTTTTTAGTGTAATAACCGCTTAATAAACTGCAACTGAGATTTATGTGATACAAAACATAATATAGGCATAACACCCGGAGTCTTGAGCAAAAGAACTCGAGTACTCTAAAACCCTTCTAATATTAAAATTAAAGAATGTATGAATTACATGCATTATACCCTACAGTACAGAGCTTGCCAAATATATATATGTTTAACATTTTCGCGTTTACATGAAGCTACCAACTAACAAGTAACGACTTTGACTAATCAACTAATCCTGATTGGTTCAATGGAAATACGCCCCAATCATTTGAATAATTTAAATTGCACTACTGTAAATATATTTATATATTTATATAAATATAAAATATTCATTTATGTTATAATTTATAATGTAGGTAGATAAATATAATTGTTTATAAATGAGAATTTGTTAGCTAATAAATTAAAATAATAGATATTTTAAAATATATTTTTTTACTCTAAATTATTTTATATTACATACAATATATTTTATTTTTTGTTTATAAAAATGATCAAATCTATCATATAGTTAAACTTTTTATTATTATTTATATTGATAAATTATTATTTAATTTAAGTAAATATTAAGAGACAAAGACAATTGTGTGTGTGTGTGTGTGTGTGTGTGTGTGTGTGTGTGTGTGTGTGTGTGTGTGTA